AGGCCTTCTACCCATAGTTGGAATTAAGCTGGAGACTCTAAGCAAATAAAGGTAGGTTACAGTGTTGCAAAATCTGCCAAGGAAGTTGTTGCCTCAGATAACATTTATCCCAGTTCTGGATTCCGGGGGCCACACTGTTCTCCAGATAGTGCTCATGGGGCTGATATAACTTGCAGCATGAAAATGATTGCCTCATGTGTATGCAAAGCTCTGTAGTGAAGCTGGTGCTAGTAAACAATAAAAGCTTGCCCGTTTAACGATCACATGCAACGCAAGCATAGCAGCCTGTACTGATAGGAGCTATTGCATACATATTGTACAGACAATTAAAAAGGCATAACAGCTCTATTTTTCTTTTCCTTGTTAGTGAAACTATGGGCAAATGTTTTTTACCGTATCTTGATTTAAAAGTGGGTAGGGCTGCCAGGAGGTTGAGAAAAGCACCTTGGGTGCTGGATCTGATCAGCTATGCCTGGCCCAATCTGCCATTGTAACCAGTTTGGTATCCTAGGAACTCCAGATAGAATCTCCTCTTAACAGTGATAGGAAACCATACAGAATTGCTATAGTTCGGAAATCCTTTTCGGACAGAAGTTATTCAAAATTCCTTATTTGCCTTTATGACACCTACCATAATGGCAGACCTCTCAATGACACTCCTGTTTATTCAAACATTACAGAAAGGTCTGCCTTTGTAATCCAGTCCACAAACAAAAAACAGATAAATGCTTGCCAAGTTAATACCTTCAACAAGCCAAATGTTGTTGAAGTAAGGAAATGTTACAAGCACCAGGCCATCTGAAGAGAAACGTAATTGGAAACATGGCATTTCCCAAGTCCTGTGGCCAACGTTGTACTATGTAAAGCCAGCAGATTGTGGTATTGAAATTTGAGATGCCTTGTTTCTAGGAGCCTATTCTAAAGCAATAGTAACAGTCAGAACACAGAATGGAATCTTTAGATTGAAAAAGCAGCAGGCTCATTAGTAATATAAAAGCCACCCCATGCTTTTTCAATGGCTCTGATGAACTTGACTCTTGGCTTTGGACACCCAGCAATGCACAGCTCTTTTAGGTCCAAATGAATGGAGTGGGACATTTCTTAACAAACATAGGGCTCCATCAGCGTCTTCCATTCTTTTCAGTGAGGCTGGGGGAATATGAAAGGTTGAACTACACCTGTGTGTAGCTTTGGGGAATGGGACTGAGATAACCTAATTCAGTAAATTAGACTTTTGGAAGGTATCCGACAGCTTCATGGCAGAGTGGGGGAAACAGCAATCTAGCTCTCATGATCACTGTTGCCACTGTCTGATGTTTAAACCACAAGCCACAGTATGTGCCAGGTGGTTTTTGAATATGCAAGCCATGGCTTGTATCATCTGAAGCTGGGGACCATGGGTAATATTTGGGTAACATACAATAACTCAAGGTCTCTACATGGACTGAATAATCAGAAAGCTTCCAGAAAGCACTGCAGCCTTCTGTGGCTTAAATAAGAGTAAGCCGCAGGGGGCTGTTCAAGCATGCAAACTGGGCCAATGACTATATCAGTTGGTGTGATTCACACATAGGAAGAGTGTAGGGGAAAGCCCTCATAACAGTAAGAGTAAAGTGTGTGTGTGTGTGAGAGAGAGAGGGAGGGGGAGGGGGTTTCCTGTCAGTTGATTTCTCTAGGGTCTCAGGTAGAAGTGTTTTCCAGTGTTGCTATCTGATATTTTATCTAGGGAGGTCAGGAAGTAAACATGAGAATGTTGACTTACAATGTGTGGGGTTTTGTTCTTTTTACAGAACTATGCTTCGCTTGCCATTCTTCATTTTTTTCAATGTTATTCTGAATGTCATTTGACATACTGCAGTGTATAAATGGATGATACTAATCAAAACTAGCAGCACCATCCTACTCAGAATTAAGTGTCTTTTATTCTAGTGGGGTTTGCTTCCAGGTAAGCAGTTACAGGATTGCAGCCTCAGTTGTATTGGATCCATTTTGCAATGCTTTGTTTGGTTGGTTTTTGTGCAGCTTCAAGCTGAAAGTTAAGCTAAAGAAATGTCTAATTCATAATCATCACTCCGTATTTTTGCATAACTTGTTGATTAGTTAATACGACATAACCTTTGGATTTTTTTTACCCCTGGACTTCCCAGCAGTATGGGTTTGCATGTCACAGTGCAGAAGCTGTGAAGGAGCTGATCATGGGTTGTGTGGTAAAGGAACAGATTGTCATTACATGCAAAGTAGGTCAATGTGTGCTACACAATGTTTGTAAAAGGAACAGTGTACAAAATGTTACAAAATAGGTTGTCTTATCTGTTAAAATATCATATAAGAATATGATACCTTGCCATAGTTTCCCTTGAATGTTAAATGTACAGGTAGAAATTGAAGTTGCCTTGGGCACTCCTGTTTGTACCTGTATATTATGTTAGAGGAGGCTTGTGCCTCCAATGCTGCTTATAGTTCATTCAAGCATTGGACATGGTTGTACTTGAGCATAGGTCTCCCACCTATGTTCTCTTAATCTTGTGTTCCCTATTCACTTAGCACGTAAGGGGAAGGCTCCTTCGCAGAAAGTGAATCCCATATAATCTGAACAAGAGAAGACACAGTATGACTTTTAGTAACATGTAGTTTCCCTCCTCCCCAAACATCCCAGACATTGGGGAGGGATATTTCCTTCTGTCCCAGATACGGGATTTATTTTATCAGGATGGTCAGGAGTACATATACAAGGTTAGAAGCAAAGGGTTCATTTTAGTCACATTTTAGATCAGGTGCAGCCATTCATATCCACAAGCTCTTTTCTGAGGTACAGATATAAATTGTGGCTTGAGTAGCTGTTCGAGCTAGTCCTCAAACTAAAAATACATTTTTATTGTGGATCATCATTTGTAAATTATATAGAATTCAGATGCTATATAAGTAGTACATGTTATGGCTTGCCTCCAACTGCCCTGTCAAAGCAGTTAGGGATGCCTCCTAATCTTATTCAACCTGATTGGCTTTGGGGTACCTAAGTGCAAAAAATAGTGTGGTTAGTTGCTCTGCTAAGAAGTAATTAGTGCATTGATCTCTAGAGAGCTGAAAGTTCATCCTTAAGCAATGGCTAGAGGTAACCTGCTAAACTAGGTGAAAATATGTCAAGCGTAATGGAATTCTTCCTCATAATAACTTTGGAACAGATGGCAGTTGCTCAAAGCTAAAGACTGCAGGAACAGTGTTGTGTAAAACATCATCAGCAGTATGGCACAAATAATGTTTGTGGGCAAATAACTGTGTTAATGATGAACTGCTATAGTAGATGTTTGATTGCTCTGTGTAAAAATGCTTTATCTTGCTATGTTCCTTGTGCAAGTCTTTCTTTCTTTCTTTCTTTCTTTCTTTCTTTCTTTCTTTCTTTCTTTCTTTCTTTCTTTCATGTGTTCTAATGGTGTGGTAAGAGCCATTACAACAAGCAGTTGCAGCCCATAGCAAAGCTCAAAACCTGCTGATGCAGTTAGTCGTATTTTAATAGATCATTGACCCATCTGTAAGACTCTGACCACTTTGGAGATAAAAAGCTAATTTTCTATTGGCCACTCATAGTGGAACATATTGAGAAATGGTGTAATAATTAACAAAGGTAATGGAAATGTGCCTTTTGAGTTCCAGCCAGAATATCTCAGTTGCAGGTTTTATCTTCAGTAATGTGATCTCTTCTTTTTTAAATGCACCACAGGATCAACATATAATTTAAAATGGACTGCCATAAGGGAGGGTGGCTCAGTGGGTCTTTGTTAAAGCCTATAGCCTTAGCTATAACATTTTGTTACTTGATTTTCAACTTATAACCACAGATGCTTATATGTATTCCTATAAGTTTAGAAACAAAAAAGCAGAATAATGAAAGGAGCTTAAGGCGCTACAAGCATCTGAGCAAATAATGTCATTTTGGCTACTACCAAAATTATTCATTGCTTTAAAAAAAAAAAAAGCTTTCTATAGACACAAATGCTCAGATCTTTTTGTCTGCTTCACCTGAGACTTTAGGCAAAGTGATTGAGGAAGACTGAGCTATAGCGTACCTGTTCGACGTTTTATCCTTCCTGGCTTATAATAGTGTAGTGATCGAGACTGCTGAACAGATGGTGAATGCCTCACTCAGCCATTTGGGAATGAACCTAGGCAAGCTTTGGCCTTGTACATTCCACATCTCCTCCAGCATAGTCTCAAAGAGATTGGAAATATTTTTTTCCTGTTCTAAAATAACTGATTTACCCTTACCAGAATAAAGTGCAATATTAAGGTATGCTCAAAGAAGCCAACTTTAAACTGTGGCTTACAATTCTGGCTTGTTCTGATAAACCATAGTTAAAATTAATTACACTTCCTGATGTTGACAGTACTACAAACCAGACTCAGAAGCAAATGCTTCCAGTCTCCTCCTTTTGACTGTACCAGAGAAGGGGAAACATGGTTGTCCAAAGTTTGCACAGAACCCTAATGCTATAGTGTTATTTTCAAACTGAGAGGCCTATCATTGCCTTCTTGAAGGAGCCAGTTTTAGGACATCTGATCATAACCCAACTTGTACCTCTTAATCTAGGCAAGTATAGTTCAGTCTTGAATTTACCAATTTGGGGCAAATTGATTGCTTGATTCCAGTTACAGGTGTATAGTTCTACTGTGGTCAGTTGGCTTAAAATAGTGAATAATGCTTTTAAGCATAGACTTGTTGGTCCATACAGTGAATACATAATTCCAGAACAATGGATTTTCTTCTGTTATATTTATTAATCTATACATAATCTTGGTACTAATTCTTAGATAGCTTTAAGTATCAAGAAATCATGCTTTCTAATATTTGGACATTTTACTATTCCTTGAGATGAGAATAGTGCTTTTAGTTACCTTTCTATCAACAAAACACTGAAGAATTTAAGGAGTTGCAGTTTTTGCAAAATGTCCTTTATGTGAAAATCTCCTCCAAAACAGACAATCTTCTTTTGCACTCCCCCCCCCCCACGACATAGCAGGAATGGCATGAACTCCAGACTAGTAGCTCACATAAGCAAGTCCCATGATCTTGGCATGGATATAGAAAGAGTGGAGACTGAATGTACATCTGTCAGCAGTGATTTGGAATGCTGCCACTGCAGGATGATGGTCCCATTTGTGCTTTAAGCCTCTGGGAGTGCTGAGTGAAAACAACATCCTCCTTCCTACTCCTCCAGTGAAACTAGGAGGGCTAGATTTTTTTTAAAAAATGAAGTCTGAGTTCCTCTTGATTATGTCAGGTCAGGTATGGAGTTCTTTCCTTATTTAGGTGCTTATCTGAAATGATCAGTGCATGATCCTACTTATTATTTAATAAGGAACTTTGTCCACTATTAAAAGAAAGTAGCGTATATGTTGTAACACCTCTTTTGATAGTGTTTTAACTTACATGCTGATATAATCATAAACCAACTGTTGGGGGATGCATTTCTCCAAAACTAGAGTTGCTACAAATGTAATTACGGAAGGATATAATTACTCTAGAAATTGTACCTCAAGCCTTACTATTTTATCTCCTTACGAGATACTCCTTAAGAAGCAAGCAGAGAATTGAGGGGTGATTTAAGTGTTACCATATATACTAATAGCCAGCTGAGGTGCTGAGCTATGACAGCTGCATAGCCAAAATGTGATCGCCAAGAAAAAGATGGAGGTAGCAGTGTGCTTTGGAGAACCTCCAGGGATTCCAGAACTAGAATGAATCTTTAGGAAAATAAACTTAAGAGGAAAATCTTTAGGAAAATAAACTCCCTTTCACAGAAAATCTTCCCGGTAAAGACTGAGCATGTGGATGGGATAACAGTTGCAGTCAGCTTCATGGCTCAGTATTGTGTTGGTGTGGTCTCAGATTCACCTTCACAATTCATCTTGCAGTTTTAATGAATATGCAATATTGGATTCCTCTGTTGCTCTGCTTCTATAAAATATGTTTTCTTGAATGATTTTATAGCATTACCCTGTTTTGAAGAAATATGGAACAGTCAGTAGTTCAACCTTTTTGCTAACACTGGTTAGTATGGATGCAAAATTGAGGGTGGAGTGAAGGTCAGTTGCTCATCTCCCTATATATGGTGCTTTTCCTTCTTGGGATAAAGTGTAAGCCGTTTCCCCCTTTTCTGGATGAAGCAGTTGGCACTCGATGACCTGGGAGCAGAGCGGGCATTTGGCACATGCTATGCAGCACAAATGTGAATCGCGTCAGTGCAACAAAGAGTGCCAAAACCTTGAAAGAGTCACGAACTGCCTATATGACCCAGAGTAAAGGCTATCACTGATTTTCAGGGGTTTGAGGCCATCGGGTGAAAAAGATAAATCGTGTATCAGGTGAAGATTTGTCGAGGATCTGAGGTTCAGTAAGTGTTTACAGATCATAATGTGAAGTAACCAAGAAAAAAGAACTTGGGCAGTTCAGCTGATTGTTGAGAGTACATCTAATCAAAGCAGAGCTGGAAAAATTAAAATAAGTCTTGGCTTAAATAAAATTCAAGTTTTAGTTCCAAATTTCTTACTAGCCTGTTATGAATTAAAAGTGAGATCCAGTGTGGTGTAGTGGTTAGAGTGTTAAGCTGGGGATTTGGAAGCCCTAGGTTCTAGTCCCTGCTCAACCATGGAACTCACCAGGTGAGCTTGGACCAGTCACAGATTCCCAGCTAAGCTACCTCACAGGGTTGTTGTTGCAAGGATAAAATGGAGCAAAGGAAAACCCTGTAAGTCACCTTAAATTCCTTGTTAGAGGAAGAAAGGTATGGTATAAATGTAATAATAAAAATGTTTTCCTTGGTGGATATTGTGTTAGTATATTTAGTTATAGATAATGTTTTGCTTTAGCCTTTGTCTAGAAGATATTAGCACTCCAAGAGATAAATAATAAGGGATGATATGCATCTTTTTCTTTCTAAAGAATCCAGTGAATAGTGGAGACACTTTATTTAGCCATATTTGGAATAACCAAAAATTGTGCTTTCAACAGAAATATGGAAATATGTAAAAATTTAGGAACAGGCAAGAACAGATTTGCAGGTGGCAAATCTGAAATATATTTGAGAAAGCATTTCAGAACCACTGTTGTTCAGAAATGAGAACTTTAACATTATGGTGCTTTTAACATTGAGAGTGCAGATTGACTGCTGCTACACAAACATCTCATATAGGGTGCAGGTCTGTGGGCTTAACAGTAGTAAGCCCCCAAACTTGGAGGCAAGATGAATCACAGAGGTAATTATTGCCTCCCGTCCTCACATACTCCATTTTTCACTAGTTGCAGGAAATTCTTGCATTCTGTGTGCTGAACATAAGCAAATTATTTACTCTTGTCAGTCATCCGTCAGTTGAACTCTACAACTCAGAGGTAGCAAATTCCATCCCTTTGATAGTAGGTCCGTGCCTAAAATTTCATCATGTCCTTTGTCAAACACATGTAACCTTTAATCTCTGCTTTGGCTCTGCTGTGTCAAATAATATTTCCCCTTTCCCAGAGTTTGTGATTCAGTATACCTTTGACTGGTCTTTCTCTTCCTACAGATGCATTAATAGATCCTATTTAAATACCTTAACCTAGGAATGATCAAGCAACTATTCTTTTACTTGTTCCCTGTCATTCCATTTATTAATGTCATCGTTGGTTTCTTTTCTTTTTGTATCACTGTAGCTCAGTAGCAGAGCACGTGCTTTGCATGAAAAAGGTCCCAGGTTCAACCTTGCCTTAACTGCAGGAGAACTGCTGCCAACCAGTGTCATCAATGCAGCTGTACTTGGCTAGATGTACCAATACTCTGATTCAGCATATTGAACCTATAAATCACTTTATTTTTTGTTTCAGTTGAGCATGATCAACCAGTTATAAGCTTTATGCTATGGTCTGAGACCATCTTAAACTGAAAAGCTGATAGTTATTCATCTACACTATCCATGAGGCCTACTACCATGCCACAAAAGAAGTCCAGCATTCTGTGGGGTGACAGTACTAATCTGTTATAGTTAAAGCAGGGCTTGTGGCATCTTCAGGGTTAAACATTTCTTATGACATAAGCTCTCGTGGACTGTGGTTCATGTAGTCAGATGCATGAAATGTTTTCCTGAATTGCAGTTACAGATTCACAAGCAGGTGAATATTTTAGGTCTGTATTATTGTTCCTGAATAAACATAGGGACAGAGTTGGTTGCTGGGTCAGCTGCCAGGTCTGGTCCCTGTGGTGGTACCTTTGTTATATTTCCTGTTGTTGGCGGTGTATAGCTGGTTTAGGTTGGGTGGCATTACGAGTGGGACTGTCCATACGTAATTACAAGCCTGCCACCCAGGACCTATAGGAATTGTAGTAATTGTCTAGGATAGACTGTAGGCAATTGATGATAATAGTTGAGTGGTTTTGGATGAGAGCTATAGGTGACAATGTCATGTTCTGTCTTTTAGGTCTGTTCTGCAGTACATTATTCTAGTCTGATCTTACTGATCTGTTTTTCCCCCTTCATTGAGAGGATATTGCAATTTGAGAGATGTCTGTTAGAAATCCTTAGTTGTGAATCTCTGCCTAATTTGTCTGAACAGATATGGTTGTATTGTTGTAATTAATAATATTACACATCATGGTGAGTTCTGGGTGAAAGGTGGAAATATGTTTATATGTGTAATAATCAAAAGTTTTCTGAAAGAAGAGCTACTTGTATATCCAACCGTTTTGTGGTTGTGCAGTAGTATCAAGGAAATTAATATTTTGGATAGACTGATCTAAGCTCAGGTTGATGACAAGGCAATAACTGAAATTCTAATAGACCTTCTCAGGTGCCTTCTTTCATGAGTCTAAGCTATATAAGTGTGTGTCTAAGTTATGAGTTTCATGAGCTAAGTATGTCATCAGTGCCTCTGGTAAAGAAGAGGGTTGAACCTGCCCTCTGCATGAGTCACTGCTCTCACATTCCAGCCAGCCTCTATGGGGGCAGACAGTTCATTTCCGCTATGCTCTTAGGCTGAATCATTCAGTCACATCCAAGGCACAGACACAGTGGGACTACTGGCCTTCAGAGTTGCTCGCCCAGTGCATCTCTGCATGTGTGCTTTCCTCCTGATCAGGAGGCAGCATGTATCTTTCCCTGATTACAGATGGTCATTTATTGAAGATGAAGATGTATTGAGAAACTCAGTATTGAGAAACTCATGCAGAAATTCAGGGAATAGGCTGTGAAAATGGGTCATTCTTTTACAAGTCTGGACTGTTAACCTCTTGGGATGTAAGAGTAAAGCATGCACCCAATTCAAATTCAAAAATGATAATTGTTTTCCAAAGGAAAAGTGATCCTTTGAGATTCTTTTATTACTTACTGAAACAACATATGCAAAACATTTATTTATTTATGTCCAGCCTTTCCACAAAAATGTTGCTAACAAAATACAGAATAAAAACAAAGTCTTAAATAAAATGTAGCATAAAAGCAAAAAGGTTAACTACAAAAATAAAACTACATTTATTTAACTACATTTTAAGAAACTGCACCTAGCCACTTAAAAATCCCTTCAGGAACAGACCAGCCCCTATATCAAAAGTCTGCCTGAATAACGAAGTCTTTGTCTCCTGCCAGAGGGCATCAACCTAGCCTTTCTCAGCAGGAATTTCCAGAACAAAGAAGGCCCTCTCTCACATTCCCCTCAAACATCTCTCCTAGCCCTAATACAAACCCAAACCCTTTGATAACCTGGTCCCAAGTGGTATAAGACTTTGTAGGCACTCAGCAATATTTTAATTGTTCTTTTTTTTATACGCACATTATTTGGCATTTATTTATTATTCTTTGTATTTTTTACAGTTGTAAATAGAATTAGTTGGAAAGTAAAAGTAAAAAAAAGTAAAAAAAAAAAACAAACATACCTGTATTTCAGTATTTTCCAAACTTCTAATAGCTGAGGGTGTGATTTAGGGAAAATTGAGTATATTGCATCCTACACTTGGTTTCGTTTTGTGTTCCAGTAGGGAACCTAAAAAAGGGTGCACAGGGTTTTCAGGTTGCCTCTAATATGAAGATTAGAGCAATAGATCAAGTTCTTAACTAGTTGGATCATGTCCTAATTTAGAGGATCCCATAACTAGATTAATTGTATTGCATACATACGTGCCTCATAAAGTTACTTTTCATGCACTTTTCTAAGGATATGGTGACCCCTAATGGACAGCTAAGACTCTACATTCAGTATTTTCTGGGGGAAAATGGAGAAAAGCTTGGTTCTTATTGTAGCCTACTTTGAACTCCTGTTTTGGAAATTAAATTAGATATGAATACTTAAATATGCTTAAAGCATTTTGTCTTTGTGTTTTTGTTCCAATATCTTTTGCAGAAATCAAGCATCTAAAATCCCTACTGGGGATTTTGGTCTCCTCTGATTAGAAGCAGATGATTTTACAGTTCCACCAATGGATGCTTCTCTCTTAACTTCAAAAATCTTGAACTTAGAAGATGATATTTGGTATTAAGGATCAAGATTTGGATAATACGAAAATGAACCATTTTCAACCCAGAAACAGCATTTGGAAAATTAAGGACATTGCCTTCATTTCTTTGCGTTGATACTATTTAGTGAAATATATTAACAGACACAGATTTTGGAGGCAGCAGTACTGTATACCTTTGCAAGTCTGAAGTTGATGAAGTGTGATGCTTGTTTATCTGTTTCAGTATGACTTACAGTTACAATATAAAATTCTTAGCTGCTGAGTAAATGAAGTTTCAAATATTCATTCACAAGAAGTATAAATCACAGTTAGCTCTGAGTTACCTTTACAAACCATGAAATACATTAGTGTTTTTATTATGAATTTTTAAGCTATATTCCCTGCCACAATCCCAAGAATAAAGACTCGATTTGCCTCTAGTTTGTTGCTACTCTGTGGAAGACTCTTACCTTTGTTTAATTACTTGAAAAATTATGAATTATTTAAAATGATGCTATATGTATTTGTTATATGAATCTATATTTTCTCCATAATCGAACAACTGCAAGAATAACATGTCCAAAGTACCTCAAATACATATGTTCTTTGGTGCACCCATCCTTCCAGCTTCATTAAAGAAATCAGAAGAGGAGACATTTTCAACAGCTGCTGCTGAAACATGGAGAAAACTCATCTTTTCATTGCCCAAAGGCACTTCTAACTTTTGCTGTAGAAAGAGCAGATGCCTTGCCCACGCAGAGCATCAGACATCCAACAGTGCAATGCTGACTTCCCAGTCCGAAGATCACTCCATAGCAAAGTTTGCAGAAAAGTGTGGGTTGGCTGATGCTTTTGTGGCAGAATGTGCAGCTGATTCTAGAGATATACAGTCTTTCAAAAAGGAAACTATAGAGACAAGTGAACATGCTGATAATACTTTTTTCACCCATTGTGATAAAAGCACACAGAACTACATGAGTCATCTTGTATATCAGCCGCTTCCCTGTGATGTAAAAACAGGTGAGCAACAAAACAAAGAGTCTGAAGATGAAGGAGGTGCCAGTTTCATGATACATAACCAACTTGATACATCTTCCTTGGTTTCTAGCACCAAAGAGATTAGCAGAAATGTAACTTCTATGGCACAGGATAATAAGCCATCAGATTTTGAGCCTGACCATCATCAACTCGTGAGTCAATATCTGGAATTTTTTTGTCCAACGATAATAAAAGCATCAAAGACCAAGAAACCACTAGATGGGTATTCAAGCCATGATGTCTCAACTGATACTGAATTTCTTAGTACTCTGACATTTAGCCAAGTTGCTCTGCTTTCAGGAAGGTATGCTGTAGGCCAAAATGAAATTCAAGGCAAACCTTCAAAGTTGAAGGGAAATGAATTGAAAGAACCTTGCAGGGAAAATGAAGTAGCTACAGATCCATTTATTCAATTAAATGAAAATGGTGGCACGTTTGCTGAGATAAATTGTAGACAAAACTATGACAACTCTCCTGAACTTTTTGATTCTGATAGTACTTTAAAAGATAGCTCATCTTTAAGAGGAGCTAGCTTTCAGGAAAATGCTAATCTACCTGCAGGTGTTTTTCATGCACTTGATGCTAAATTTAATAATGAGCTGTCTTTTACTGAACCATGCAAGAAAGAAATACCATGCTCTCAAGGAGTTCACTCTGCTGAAAGTTTTCAAGCATCCAAAAATAATTTACCTCTAACTAACTTTATAGCTGAAAATCAACAGCAATCAAAGAAAGCCAAGTTGATTTGTTCTCCAGTTTGTCCCATTCCACAAATTAAGAAATTGAGAATTTCAGGAGCTAAAAAAGTTCTGAAGCATTTGTCGTTGCTTAAAGACTGCCTCTGCAAAGACCAGAAATACACTATCTTAGTAACAGTACTTCATCCATGTCATATCAAAGAAATACAAATTAAGCCAGGCACTAAATGGTCCTCAAATGTCCCCATAGCTACAGTTGTAGTTTTTGATCAATCAGAAATACAACGGAAAGTTGTGTTATGGAGGAAGGCAGCCTTTTGGTCACTTACAGTCTTTCCTGGAGATATTGTACTATTCAAAGGTAAGAAGAGAAATATTCCTTTCAAAATATCTTAGTAAAACAGTTCACTTCTCCCTATGAGAACTGCAGATTATATGCTTAGTTTTCCCCGTTACCATGTTGCCCCAATAAAACCAGATCACAATCTTCAAAAAAACTGTGAATATAGGTGTGATTATGAGTCAGAAGCCTCCGAGTAGTCATGATTGTTTACGGTTATACATGTACCTCCCAGTTGGTTCATGTATGACATCCCCCTTGGGACTGCTCTGAATGGAGAATTTAGGCCATATGAACTGGCCTAGTGGTGATGGGTGGTAGTAGAAGTAGTTGTCGTGATGATGATGTTCTTTTCTGTTGACACTCAGTTCCAATGTTAAGCGCTATCTAGTGTAGCTGAAGCATACTTTCTTATAATCCCAAGTGTAAGGATATACTGAGGACTATATCCAGATGTGGGAAGGACTAAGTTCTCCTGTCCTGCTCTGCAGTTTAGGTTTTATGTCCATGTAGAGCCCTGAGACTCCCTCATGGATCACTGCCTTGTTGTGGCGAAGGGGCTTGTGTAGCTCAGTGAAGCTATGAGCTATGCCGTGCAGGGCCACCCAAGACGGACAGGTCATAGCAGAGAGCTCTGACAAAACGTGATCCACCAGAGAAGGAAATGGCAACCCACTCCAGTATCTTTGCCATGAAAACCCCATGGACAGTACCAAAAGGCAAAAAGATATGACACCGGAAGATGAGCCCCTCGGTCAGAAGGTGTCCAATATGCTACTGGGGAAGAGCAGAGGGCTAGTACTAGCACCGCCAGAAAGAATGAAGCGACTGGGTCAAAGCTGAAAGGACACTCAGTTGCAGATGTATCTGGTGGTGAAAGGAGAGTCTGATGCTGCAAAGATCTATACTCCATAGGAACCTGGAATGTAAGATCCATGAATCAAGGCAAGCTGGATGTGGTCAAACAAGAGATGACAAGACTGAACATCAACTTCTTAGGAATCAGTGAACTAAAATGGACAGGAATGGTGAATTTAATTCAGATGACCATCAGGTATACTACTGAGGGCAAGAATCCCTCAGAAGAAATGGAGTAGCCTTCATGGTCAATAGAAGAGTAGGAAAAGCAGTATTGGGATACAATCTCCAAACTGACAGAATGATCTCAGTTCGAATCCAAGGAAAACCATTCAACATCACAATAGTCCAAGTCTATGCCCCAGCCACTGGTGCTGAAGAGGCTGAAGTTGACTGGTTCTGTGAAGGTCTACAACACCTTGTAGAATTAACACCAAAAAAAAATGATGTCCTTATCATCATGGGGGATTGGAATGCTAAAGTAGGAAGCCAAAAGATAACCGGAATAAAAGGCAAGTTTGGCTTGGAGTACAAAATGAAGCAGGACACAGGCTGGTAAAATTTTGTCAAGAGAATACGATGGTCATAGCAAACACTCTTTTCCAACAACCCAAGAGAGGACTCTACACATGGACATCACCAGACGGTCAACACAAAAATCAGATTGACTACGTGCTCTGCAGCCAAAGATGGAGAAGCTCTATACAGTCAGTAAAAACTAGACCAGGAGCTGAACTAGACCAAGACCAAGATCATGAGCTTCTGGTTGCAAAATTTAGGCTTAAATTGAAGAAAGTAGGGAAAAGCACTAGGCCACTCAGGTATGACCTAAATCATATCCCTGATAAATATACAGTAGAAGTGGCAAATAGATATAAGGAATTAGATCTGATAGAGTGCCTGGAGAACTATGGGCGGAGGTTCACAACATTACATTCTGGTCCCAAAGAAGGGCAATGCCAAAGAATGTTCAAACTACCGCACCATTGCACTCATTTCACCTGCTAGCAAAGTTATGCGCAAAATCCTACAAGCTAGGCTCCAGCAGTATGTGGACCGAGAACTACCAGAAGTACAGGCAGGGTTTCTAAGAGGGAGAGGAACTAGAGATCAAATTGTGAATATACGCTGGATCATGGAGAAAGCTAGAGAGTTCCAGAAAAACATCTACTTCTGCTTCATTGACTATGTTAAAGCCTTTGATTGTGTGGATCACAACAAATTGTGGCAAGTTCTTAAAGAGATGGGAGTACCAGACCGTCTTATTTGTTTCTTGAGAAACCTGTATGCGGGTCAAGAAGCAACAGTGAAAACTGCACACGGAACCACTGATTGGTTCAAAATTGAGAAAGGAGTTCAGCAAGGCTGTATACTGTCGCCCTGCCTATTTAACTTATATGCAGAGCACATCATGAGAAAGGTGGGGCTGGATGAATCACCAGTTGGAATTAAGATTGCTGGAAGAAATATCAACAACCTCAGATATGCAGATGATACCACGCTAATGGCAGAAAGTGAAGAGGAACTAAAGAGCCTCTTGATGCTGGTGAAGGAGGAGAGTGCGAAAGTTGGCTTGAAACTTAACATTAAGAAAACTAAGATCATGCCATCTGGTCCTCTCACTTCCTGGCAAATAGATGGGGAAGAAATGGAAGTAGTGACAGATTTTATTTTCTTGGGCTCCAAGATCACCGCAGACGGGGACTGCAACCAAGAAATGAAAAGACGCTTGCTCCTGGGGAGGAAAGCTATGGCAAATCTAGACAGCATACTAAAAAGCAGAGACATCACCCTGCCAACAAAAGTGTGTCTAGTCAAGGCTATGGTTTTCCCAGTTGCAACGTATGGCTGTGAAAGCTGGACCATAATGAAGGCTGAGCGCCAAAGGATTGAGGCCTTTGAATTGTGGTGCTGGACGAGATTCCTGTGAGTCCCCCGGACTGCAAGGCAATCAAACCGGTCAGTCCTAGAGGAGATCAACCCTTACTGCTCTTTAGAAGGCCAGATCCTGAAGATGAAACTCAAATACTTTGGCCACCTAATGAGAAGGAAGGACTCCCTGGAGAAGAGCCCAATACTGGGAACAATAGATGGCAAAAGAAGAAGGGGATGGCAGAGGATGAGGTGGCTGGATGGAGTCACTGAAGCAGTTGGTGTGAGCTTGAGTGGACTCCGGGGGATGGTGGAAGACAGGAAGGCCTGGAGGAATGTTGTCCATGGGGTTGCGATGGGTCGGACACGACTTCGCGACTAACAACAACAACAAGAGCCCTGAGAAACCATCTATCAAATTATATTCTGATATTAATGAACTTTGCATTCTATTTTTTCCCTTAGTACCAGCTTTGAACCTCTTTCAGCCTGAAAGAGGCCAAATGCAGCTTTGGAAAAGTTCTCAAAGCCCACATTGTATTGTTGGGCAGGTCCAAAATACCATCTTATTCTAGCTTCAAGCCGTTATTGCAAGTAACTAAGGTTTATTTAGTTAATAAGAAGTACTTGCGTGCTTCTGTTTTACTTACTTATTAAAAAAGATGCATGTTGTCCTTTTGGAATGGGGAAGAACATTGTACAAAATCCAAAATGACTAGTGGTGAGGAAAATGGATGGGGCCAGCAGAAAGTGTGATGATCCTGGACTCAGATAACTTGAAGGACAGTCTTGGCTCCTGAACCTCAAATTCTTCCCTCCTGAGCAATATTGCATATTGATGAACTGGCAGGGATGGGAGGGCAGTTTGCAGCAACAGTAGAAAATTGGTCCCCAGGCTATCCTCATTTGTCCCCCCTGCACTAAAGATGATTATGATTATTCGTATTTTATTACATTTCTATAATCCCATAGCCAAAGCTCTCTGGACAGTTCACAACAGAATATAAAAGCAATAAAATACAGTACATAAATAACCTTAAACATTTTTAAAATGTATTAAAATAGCATTAAAATACCAAAAAAAAAGACCTGACCATGATATGCTGTAACTGTCCAACATCATGGTTACTCTTTGGTTTTTGAACTGAGAGGAATCCAGTTTCAAGACTAGAAGTAGAATTTGTCTATATTTTTCTTGTGACTTAAGATTGTTTCTTTTGCTTGCAGATGTCATTATATATGAGAATATCTGGGTTGGAGAAATGATGCTACAGTCAACGTTTACTACTCAGTTAATGAATCTCGGCAGCTGTTCAACTATTAATCTGAATGAATGTGAGAATTGCCCTATCAATTTTATTTGTTTGTTTGTTTGTATTACATTATAAATTGGTATCATGAAAGTATATAAATATCCAAATGAATATTTGAATTCAATATTTTCCAAATTGTATCAAAGTAGTTGTATATATCTCTTCTCTCACAAATGTTGATAGTCTTCCAAATATGTTTTTTGGAATGAATTAATTTATTTCTTACATGGTAAGACAAGCATCTGTCCCCTTTACCTCCATGGTCTTGTCTTCTGTACAGTCTATAAGACCCTGTACAACCTCTACCCATCTGTACCCCAAGATCTTTATGAAGATATTACCATTCTTTCAGTCTGGGTTACAGACATTAGGTTCAAGGAAATCCAGGTAGAGATAAAATGATTACTGTAATTAGTTAATAGATAGCTTTCTGCCAATAAGAACTGAGAACTCTCTCATATCTAATATTAAAAAAAAAATTAGCCTATGTGATAGAAGACTGATAATTTCCTCCATAAACATATGGGATATTCCCAAAGTAAATGATATCTTTTAAAATATCGCTCATGGTCTATACTATATTTAGATCAGACCATTGTCTCCACAAGCAATCCATGTTGATCTAAAAGGGGGTATTTCCATTCTGTCAGGCTGAGAAACTCAAAATGCACAAGGGAAGGGGGATAGAGGAAGAAGGTCAGCTTAAGGAAGAACAGGTTTTCAAGGCCAGAAAAAAGGAACAGCAATAAGCAAGCATTGATATGAAGCTGAACAAGCCAATAAGATCTTTCTTTGCTTGAAGTCTTTCTTGAACACATTACTTCTGAGCTTATCTGTGCGTCAATGAAAGTACTTGTATAACTAAAATTTTATTTCTGAATTAAGTGAAATTGCTAATTATACTTTCAGGTGATACTTTGATCCAGAACTGCATATAACAAACATGCAGCCCATGTGACGCGAAGATTATTCATTTATTTACACACTTTATATCTAACAAAATTCCTAGGCAGTGGACAATAAGAAAAAAGTAATGCAGAATTAAAATATTTAAAACCTGATTATGATAGTATTTATTCTTTTCAAGGTTCCCATATAGTGGATGTTACTATTCTCCAGGATTTGCTGGCATATGTTTCTTCAAAGCATGCCTATCTTCAAGCAATCCCCCAAAGACAGACACAGACTCTGAACAACATACAACATGTTCTACTGGACAAACTCAAACCAGATACATTGGTACACTCAATAGTGAAAATTGTCAGCATCGCTGTGCTAACAGGTTAATTGACATTCTAATTCTAGACTTTGCTGTGTTCCCTTATAAATATTGGGGTGAAAAGGAATGAACAGAGCATATTAGTTCTCTGGCCATAGTTTCTTTGCACCCAAGGTACTTGCATCTGCTTCACCTGTCTGGCAGGAGGACCAGCTAAGCACTTGGATTCTGTTGGCCCACTGAGCAAGCAGAAGGATGTTCAGGGGGATAAAGGAGCAGCTGAAATATTTTCATACCTCAGAAAGGAGTCATGGGTTGATTTGTAAGACCACTTGGTGCTTCCTCCCTTGGGGAAAAAAGTACCTTGATTCTCTTCCCTGTTGAATCACCTGATTCAATAAGGCTTTGATCTCCTGAAATTAGTGACTGGAATTACTAGCTGCTTTTCAGAGAGCAGAAGTGGCAGCAGGTTCCCTTCACCTGCTCAGTTCTCACTACTGATGTAATAGTTTCTTTTTTTTTTTTTTAGAACTATTTTCTGAACTTTTGAAACTTTTTTTTACTTGGTCCATAGGTGAGCTCTCAGGATACATGATTATTTCTGCCATTCTGAAAGAAATACCCTTGGTTATAGTTTAAACAGATTAAGGCTTCATGACTAATATTTTTTGAAGTACCCATCTTAAAATATGGTTGCTTTAAAAGCATTTCATGTAGCATCATGCATGAAGAGATTTGTTGTTCATTAATTGAAAAAAATGCCATCTCTTCCATCTGCTCTTCCAACTGCATCTCTTCCATCAGTGGCTGGGGTCCAAAATACCAGGCAGCTTGTTTTGTGTGCCATGGGTTTAATTGTCCACTAAATTGATTCAAATCAGGTGTGTGGTGCACTTGATAGTAAAGATTGCTATAGCGAATAGTATCGCTTCATACACTACTTATTAACCCTCAGTTTGAAAGCAGGAACCATCCAGGCAATATACTATGGAGGTTTGCTGTTCAAAGAAGAAAAAAATGAATACCACTGGGTGTGCCCATGTCCTGAAACCTAAGGTAGCTTATTTGCATTGTAGCCTAAATTAGCATGCAAATCAAACAATGCTTACTAGGACTCTATTTCTCTAGCCTGGTTCAAATGACATGGCAGCACCTTGTAGGTTAATTAACTCTTGAGTTGCTGTGTAGAGGTCAGTATATGCAACCTCTAACTGTTACGTGATGTGAACCTTGCAGGCTAAACACCCCTCATGGTTTGCTGAATATTTATGTAAGGGTTTAGTCCTCAATTAATCCCTGCTGGCCAGGTTTATAGAACATGACAGCACCTAGCATCATATGACATAGTCCCGTGAGGATTAATTAACCCACAGTGGGTTGCCATGTCATCCATACAAGCTTGTTTGAAAAGAGAATTTCAGGAGAGAATCACCCATTAGTTTATCTGCTTTCCTAACTAGTTCTTTTTTTCTTAATTTTTGTCAAACACAGTGATAACTGCAGCAGCAACAAGAGTACAAAAGTGGGGGAGAAAAGAAAACTGAGCAGAATTTAACACTTCCATTTCAAATGTATACATTAATATAAGGAAACTACATATCTATATAAGTAATATAAGCAACCCACCAATAAAGCCAAGAAAATTGATGGTGGTGGGTGCTTATTCTTGCAAACTTGAAATACGTCTCTCTGCAGTTGTAAGGGTGCTCAGGATCCATTTTTGCTGTTTGTCTGCTCCAATTGTCATTCGTAACACCTTTGCAAATCTGACCATTTAAAATAGCAGGGCAGAAGCTATTTTGGCAGAAGTGTTAGGCAGAAGTGTAACTTTTGTTAGGCAGAAGTGTTCGTTTTTCCCTCTTGCAGATAAATTACATATCAAAATACTACTTTAGGTTAACTTGAACTTCATCTGGTATTTCTTCACCTTATTTTAAATAAATCATGTTTATATTTGTAATGTTTCAACTTTAGAGTCTGCATATAATTTCAAAGGAGAAAGTGAAAGAAAGATTATTTTAACAGTGGAACAAGTTAAGGATCAGCATTGTAACTTAGTATTATGGGGAGCTTTAACAGCCCATTATCCTCAACTTCAAAGGAAAAGAGGTAAAAGTTGTTTTATTTCATATATGTTCAATTATTATTGTCTGTGTTGTATTGCCATATTGCAGAAGAAAAAAGGAGAACCAATATGGAATGCCTATAATGTTGACCTTTCCATTCTCCCATTCCTAGTTTCATAGTATTTTTTACTGAATGGTGATGAGTCTTTGTAAAATGCCTGGCTGAACTTTCTACAGTCATCTTATTTTGCAGAAACCAATATCTTGTGTCAGTTTATTATAGAAGTAGCAAAATGCTGGCCATTATAAATGTCATGCCTTGTGGAAAGGGTGGTTTATAAGGCAGACAGCAACAGTTGCTTATCATTTTCAAGGTAATTTAATCTAGATGAGTAAATAAAAAGGAGCAATTAATGGCTCCTAATTAATTATGAACTGCATACAGAAATTAAAGAAGATGGTACAAGCTTAAATAAATTTGTGAAGGATTTAGTACTAATTATTAATTAAGGTGGGTTAAAAAGTACTAAGATCTCTGCTCTTTGTTGAAATAACTTCCAGTAATCAAAACATTCTTCTATAAAGTTTATTTCAAGCTCTTTTTTCCCAAAAAGGAAACAAAATCTAGCTAACATTTGTTACTCCTTTCTTTCTCTCCCATCAAATTTGCAATGTATTCTGAAGTTTGTGTCCTGTAATTTGATATTTTTTACAATTCATGTTTAATCATTAAAAGATTATATCTAGGATTTAAGATAAGACTTGTTTTCGGCTATGCAAATATCCCTCTCTGCTGGAAAAGTCTAAAGGGTTGATACTATCAGGACAACCAGGATCAGGCTGGCACTTGTTGCTAGCCTGGGATGAAGGTCCTGACACCTGAGCACTATAAAAGACTCAGACCAACAGCATGTGATGGCCATTTGTGATACTGAGCATAGAAAAATAGTTCAGCATGTGATACTCAGTATGCTGGAAATCAAACTGTTTACAAGACCTTCTTTAATATGTGAATGTGTCATAGGGAGGGGATGGTCTTCAGATACAGTAGCGTTTCCTTTGAACAGAAAGACATTTCAGTTTTGGCCATGTCTTAGAAACGTAGAAACAGAGCGAGTCAGAAGGGGCCTCTGGGCCATCTAGTCTGACCTCCAGCTCCAGCTGGCTCCACTCAGGACATGCCCACCATGTGCATGTCCAGCCTATCCTTGAACACCCGCACCAATGGGGCCTCAACGACCACTCGTGGAAGCCCATTCCACACCCTCAGGGTCCTAATTGTCAGGAAGTGCTTCCCAGCATCTAAATGGAACCTTGGCTCCCTGAGCTTTGCTCCGTTGGAGTGCGTCCTGCCTTCCCCTGCAGGGGAGAACAGGTCTCTACCCATCTCCATGTGACATCCCCTCACATACCTGTATGTCGCCAACAGATCCCCTCTGAGTCTCCTTCCCCAGGCTGAAGAGACCCAGTTCCCTCAGTCTCGCCTCATACCCCATCCCCTGCAAACGGGCCACCAACCTTGTGGCCCTACGCTGCACTGACTCCAATCTGGCTATATCCTTTCTGTAATGAGGGGGCCAGAACTGAGAATCTGTGCTGCATGGAAAATCCATCCAATTTCCTGGTTTTGGCTTCCTGGACTCTGGTCCACTTTGCAGCAGCCAAGAGTCCAAGTTCCTAGTGAGCACACCCAGCATTCACAGGGCACCTGCCAGGAATTCAGCTCCAAGCAGCACCTCTGCTCACTGCTGCCACGGGTACCAGCAAGCAGGGGAAAAGGCTAGCTTCTGGGAATGGCAGCTGGTGCTTCTGCTCACAGCTCCCCTCTTTCACATCCTGTAGCTGCTCCTGATGGCGAAGTTTGCTGGAAGTGCAACTGGGAGCCTGCAAGCATTTGTCAACTTCCGCTTGGCTTGCTTTGTAAGACCAGGCTGAGCAAAAGAGGAAATCCTCAGATTCTGGGGAGATAGGTTGTGGAAGGGTTTGTCGCAACCCTTCACAGACCCGCGCAAACTTTACCATCCACACCTGGACTTCTGGTGAGACAGATACGTTTGGTGGGCAAGATAATGGCATTTCCCAAGCAAAGTGTTGTCCAAATAAGGCTCGTGTGTGCGCACTTTTGTGCTTACTCAAAATGTTAAATAGGCTTTTAAAAACATTTTAAGACTCATAAAGTTTTTTTCAAAAACTGAAATTTCACCAAGCATCCTCCCTGCCCCCTTTAAATTATAGGTTTATTCCTCTCTGAAAGTACAATATTCTATCCAAAGCCTTCCACAAATATGAAGAGTAAAATGGAATGCAAAATTCTAAGTGGTGATATTTTTAATTTATTAGATCATTTATGGGAATTTAAATATTTGTTCTCAAAACACAATCCTGTCTCTGGTGAACTTGAGTTGCACACTACACCATGGTCAGTCCTCGAGTGTCTTTTTGATGATGACATAAGAGCTGTTGAATTCAGGAAGATGTTTGAAATTGATATCAAACCACTGATGAATGTTACTGTTCTTGCTGCACATCTGGAAAAGAAAAGTTCTGGTAAGATTCTTATCATTATATGGGGGGTCCCCCCTTTTATTTTTATTTCTGTTTGTTCTTTTGGCAGGTCACAACAATTAAAAATAAAGCAAAGTACTTAGCATGCAAACCAAATATCTAACCAAATTGAAGTCACTTCAGTAATCCTTCTGGTTGGATGCCAGCCAGAAGGCAAAAATGTTAAATGCTCTTTCAAAAAGTATACAGAGCAATAGGAGATGGAGACTCTACTGCTCTAGGGCTACCATTAAGAATGTCACTACCCATGTCTCTATTGTTCTGACCTGGTGCAGGGATTTTACAGCCAAGCACTGGCCTGTTTCGGTGCCATAGGATTTTTCAGAGCCCAAGCTCTGAGTCCTTGCCATTTTAGACTTAGGCCTCTGAAGGCTGCATCTCCGACCACACCACACCCCTTGTAGATGGCCCAGAAAGATCTGCCCTTGGCTGCTTCTCTGAGGACGTAACTGGGTCTCAGAGAGGGCGAAAAGAGCTGTGCTGCAGGCAGGGAGGAGAGGAGTCTGAGGACATCACCTTACATTTGTTCCTGCTGGTAGCCCTGCCTTTTCCCCTCCCACTTCCCAGTGCTAAATTGAATATTTCAGTACATGAGCAAGACTCACGGTGCCACACTCCACGCACTGGATGCATGTAAGCTCAGTCTGGAGGCTGATGTGTATCTACCTCAGTGCTTTGAACTGGGTCTTTAGACTACATTGAACACGCACTTTTGTTGTTGTTAGTCACAAAGTCATGTCCAACCCATCGCGACCCCATGGACAACATTCCTCCAAGCTCTCCTGGCCTCCACCATCCCCTGGAGTCCACTTAAGCTCACAGCAACTGCTTCAGTGACTCCATCCAGCCACCTCATCCTCTGCCATCCCCTTCTCCTTTTGCCCTCAATCGTTCCCAGCATCAGGGTCTTCTCCAGTGAGTTGTTCCTTCTCATTAGGTGGCCAAAGTATTTGAGTTTCATCTTCAGGATCTGGCCTTCTAAAGGGCAGTCAGGGTTGATCTCCTCTAGGACTGACCAGTTTGCTCACCTTGCAGTCCAAGGGACTCGCAGGAGTCTCCTCCAGCACCACAACTCAAAGGCCTCAATTCTTCGGCAAGGATAAATCGCACTGAACTCTGTGTCACTTAGAGTACACATGAGTACAATGATTATACTGCCGATCTTAAATTTCACAATGGTACAAGCAGAACTCATTATCAATCTACTGTTAGCTTGCAACCAGAATACTCGAAAAATTGTGATCGACTCCTTTTTGTTTTCCTAGGAATAATTCGAGTGAAGGCCTGCATCTCACAGATGAAATTTACTGTTCCTTCCTCTCCATATGAGGTTGTATTTGATGCTAATACTTCACTGCAACAGATATTCTCTTCTCTCGCTCTGATCACATATGTGGGCTGTGCAAAATGTGGACTTGAATTACAAACAGATGATAACAAGATCTTTAAACAGTGCATTAGCTGCTTACCCTTTAATCAAGTGGAGGTATTCTACAGGTAATTGTGTGTGTGTGTGTGGCAGAGAGATTAGTAGCATTCCCATTAAAATGCGCATCTTCCCATGACACATCTGTTCTGGAAAGAAATACATTTTATTCAAGCTTCTAAATTCTTTCCTTGGATTAAGTTATTCTAAGTGGTTGTTCTTTTTGCAAAAGAATCTTCCTTAATGACGCACTCCTACTTTGAGAACCAGATTAAGTAATTCTGTTTGCTAACAGTCGGGATAGAGATTTTCTCTCACCCTGTTCTTTCTGATTTTGCATAAATGGCCAGTAGAAAATTGAGAACACTTTGTGCTGTTCTTAGTTTTTCACTGAGACTTAAGGGATAAGTGCTTTCTTCTTACAGATGAAAAGGTCTTTGGGCAAGTTCCAACTGTCTGCCTATGAGCTGGAAGGGCAAGTGTGCCATACCTTATCGCTGCCCATAGCAAAGGACATCTTGTGCCCTATGGAAGGAGCCCTTTCTGGTGATGGTCAAAGGCTAGGTTCTGGTGGCCAGTAGGGACTATGAAGTGGCTGTGTAGGTAAATGCACAGACGCTCCTTGGAGCAGGAACCCGCCCATCAAGTTCCTACTCCTTCCTGAACTGCAGACTGAGAATCACCACCAGGGATACTAGGGATGTTTTCATGAGACAGCCTCTAAAATTCGCCCAAATAAAAGAAACTTTGCAGCACCTTTATCCTCATTTGTTTCGGACACAGGTTTGGAGCCCAGAATAGAGCTAGAGATCCCATAGCCCCCCTGTATGCTAGTCATCAGTTAGCTTGGGTTATGAAGAAGGTGGGGGAGGTCAGCAGGACTCTCCTTCCTTTTTTCTTTCCTGGGATCAAAGGAAGGGAGGAAGGGAGTGAGTTCTGGGGGTGGCGGGTAGGGTAGGAGTTTTCCAAGTGATTCCCCCCCTACATGTTCCCAAATTGTTTCACTATAGAATTCCTGACCCAATCTAGTGACAGCCTTTTAGGGCTCACCCATCTTGAACCCCCATGAATCCACTACATGATTTTTCCTTCTCCATCCCAGAATAAGCAGTCAGATCTTCTTAGTGACTGCTGATCTGCCCGATTGGCAAGAAGGTATATGAAGATGCAGTTCACAGCTGTGCACAACTGTCCCTGACTCAGTGCCAAGGAGCATCTGCTGCTCTTGCTTGTTTAGTCCGAGCTTACTCTGGTAATAGAATTTTTATGCGTTGATGAGGAGCCATTTTCTGTTGCAAAGCTGTGCTATGATTTATTCTTGAGATCCTGTCCTTACAGACTGCACAGAAACAGCACCTCTTGCACCACACAGAACCTGATTTTGAAACTGGCTCAAACTGACACTTTGAATCCAGGTCTAAATAGTTCAGACAACTACAGTTCAATCTTGTGTCTTTTCTTATAGAAGTAACTTCCACTGAAATTATTATTCCCTAGAAAGAGTGCTTAGGGTTGCAGTGTAAACACACAAACACTCACATGTGTCATTACACAGTGAATACAAGTGCTGCTTGCACTATTTATTATGTAAATGTTGAAGGTGTTCATGGTTTTACAATCCTGGGAGAACATCAGGTTTTTATGTCTATTTGTTTATTCTGTGTTCTTTCATGTGTTTGTGGCATTGAAGGGCTTCTCCTCAGTTGTTACTTTATACTACCAAAATAATACCTGGATAAGAACATTCTAGTCTCAAAGAAAATGTGGGTAATAGAACTTTAGATGGACAGTGCATCTTTGAATTGAAAGTGTGGCCCACAGCGTTGTTATTTTCATTACTATTGTTTTATTATTGTGATGTGAGTTGGAAATTTTGTGTCTAACTCCTTGGAATCCTTTTTATAAGAAGGTGCACTCTGGCTATTTCAAAAAACAAATGTATTATTGTGGTTACTAGGCATAATTTATCTCCTTGTGCAAATAAGCTTTGGTGATTTCCTGATTTATCAACTGACAGATTTATCAATATGAGTGCTTGACAGTGGCACAAGTCCTAAATGCAAGAGATTTCTGGGTATAAACCCAATCTGGAAATCATTTGGAGCGACAGTTGATTGAAAATTAGATACTATTCCATTTTAAGAAACCAGCAGCATCCCACTAAATTGTTGCAGCTATTTCTGCTGGAAAAGCGAATTCTTCACAAACACTAGGGGGCAGTAGGGGATGGGTTGTGCAGATTTCTCCCTTCTTTCCTCCTCAAATGCCTCTGACTATGATATACCACAGTATTTCATATTTGAACGGACTTGCCAGTTGGAGGCTTAGCTTATCTTCTGACCTTTGCTTATTTACAAAGCCAGGGTACAAAGAGGACCATGTACACACTCTTAAAGCACTTGCAGATACCACTGGGGCATTGCCAGTTTTCCATTTGGCTGCACCACTATGTCGGGTCCCCTGGAGAAACTTTTCTAGACTGGGGGGTGAAGGGAGCCCTCCAAAGTTCCACTGCGCTGAAAGAACACGCACAGCTCTTCGGCTCCTATGCCAAAATCGACAGCACTCAGAACAGGGTAGCTTCTGAATAAGTAGTTTACATTGAACGTATTATATGACTAGAACCTGGATTTATATATGGATCATTGTTTTAAAAAATATGTGTATGGATTGTCCAGAAGTGAAATTAGTATTCTGACATCTCAGGGCAATAGCTGTTGTATACTCTGAATGCATATGAACACAAGAATTTTGTTCTGGATTTTGGCAGATACAGTGGGAAAACCTGAGGTACGTACATAATAAGCAGCAGAGCTCAGGGCATTTCAATCATCCAGAGAAAAGGAATATAAAACTGGTTTACCATTACCTTTCAGATTAGCTTTGATCATTGAAATCCATTGCCCAGGAACACTTTTAAACGGCACTTTAAGGTTTTGGCGGTTCGCTAGAGAGGAAGAGTCCCATAAGAATGAGGCAGTCATAGGGACATTTTCCTATATGCCTGTACAGTGTATGCATACTATCTGTACAGTGGCTATATTGAAGAAAGTTTTGGTTGATGATAGGTCACCTCTGTCAGAGAGGGCAAGAGCTGTGTAATAAGCATTCCAACGAATAAAATTGATCTTTTCTTCCAGTCTTAACTGACCCACCATTCAAATAGTCAGTGCACATGCAAGCAAATGTCAGGTTATTGAAGTAATATCCCCTGTTTTTGTACAATATAGTTTTGTACTAGTCTTTTTGATAAGGCTACAAACCTGAGACTTTTCAGTATGCTCGTGTATCTGGTTACATCCTTTTAACAAATTAATCTTTACTTAAATGTGAATGAATCACCTAACAAACATAGATTTGTTGATGGGAAAATATTGGATTTGATCTTGATTTTAAATCATTGATACTTGTCTCATTTAGGAATCTATATGCAACAATTGAGTTAAAATTACTTTTCCCTTTCCAGGCCTATTTAATTATCCCTTGCATTTCTGTAGCTAAAAACAGTCTACAAAAACTAAAAATAACAGCCAGTTTTCTATTTCAAAAAGTGAAGTTTCTTGTCTGTGTGTCTTTTCCATGTTAAGATATATCTGAATTCATTAATATCTGAAACACAATTTCTCTGATTCTTGGCAGTTGAAGAGTTTCGTTTTTTGTTTTAAATCCACATCTTTGTTTTGAACATAACTCTGAGGGATTTTAAATAAGAAGAATTTATGGTTTTTCAGACCACTAATAGATGGTCAGTAAATTAGAGAACTAGGAAGAATAAGCCATTTTTTCAGAGAACTTTTTCGCATGGAAGAGAGAAAATTGAGATCAGTACTGTCAGAGGCACAGAACAGCTGTACTCCTCAATAGCTTTCCCATCCTTTACTGTTGCATCTCATACAAACAAATTTGTGGCATGATACCACCACCACTAGCACCACTATTTCTAGGCAAAGGTGTGGGGCAGGGGGATAAATAGCATAATAGCTAAGTGGCTAAGTTGATGAGCACATGACAGAGCCTTTTCAGCAACAGCACCCTGACTGGAACTTTCTCTCTTGGTAGATCAACTTAGTGGGCTGTAAAACTGCAGTGTTCCATCTGGCTCGGTATGCATTACTTTAACTGTCAGAAACTGGCTACACATTAGTTCTGCAGCGCTGCAAAGTCATTTGGCATATAAGAGGGAGGAGCAGAAAAAGAGGAAAATAATCTAATGATTGAGAAAACAATCCGTGGTTCGCTTGTTTAGCTGCCAGATAAACCCTAGGTACAGCAACAAACCTTAGGTAATTGTATGATTGAATCAGGCCCATATGTGAAGTTCCAATATTTAAAATATAATAATTGTAAACAAAAGAATAATGGACACGTTGAAGGCTGAGCGCCAAAGGATTGAGGCCTTTGAATTGTGGTGCTGGACGAGATTCCTGCGAGTCCCTTGGACCGCAAGGCGATCAAAGCAGTCAGTCCTAGAGGAGATCAACCCTGAGTGCTCTTTAGAAGACCAGATACTGCAGATGAAACTCAAATATTTTGGCCACCTAATGAGAAGGAAGGACTCCCTGGAGAAGAGCCTAATGCTGGGAATGATAGATGGCAAAAGAAGAAGGGGACAGCAGAGGATGAGGTAGCTGGATGGAGTCACTGGGGCGGTGGGTGTGGGCTTGGGTGGACTCCGAGGGATGGCAGAAGACAGGAAGGCCTGGAGGAATGGGGCCTTGTCCATGGGGTCATGATGGGTCGGACACTACTTGGCGACTAACAACAACAACAACACCTAGGAGCAGCTCTTGTATGTTAATTATGTTGTATGTTCAAAATTAAGCATGTCAGGCTATTTCTCTTTGAAATTGTCATTCCTTCATACATGATTAAAAATATTAGAGCAGGAATGTAATGAATGCTGGATTACAAACTGATTCTGGTCACATTAATTGTTTCCATACAGAGAATGATATGATTAGAGTCCATTCTTAGCTAGTGTTCTGAACTTCAAAGCTGAGAATGCCCTTGACATAAGTGCTGAAGGTTAGATACTTGAGTATATATTGATTTGTGTGTGTGTGTGTGTGTGTGTGTGTGTGTTGCCACTGCTTGGATTTATTCTGAATTGTGCAATAGGTTTGAAGGTTCAACTGTTCACACATGCATATTTATGAATGCTGATTTCTATTGCTTAACTTAGTTTTCAAAGTTAAGTTTGAGCCTGTATTTGGAAACTATTTTTGGTCCTAAGGTTTAGCATTGGAACAGTAATTATCAATTCATGCTGTGCACTGTTAAATAGTCTATAACACTAATTTCTTTTGCTGTATCATCATCTAGACCAGCACTGATGAATGTAGAGGATGAAGGATATGAAATTTCCATTCGGGTGGTATCAGAATTGATGAAGAAAATGTTCCTCAATATTCCAGCAGCATGGCTAAACAAGGCAGTAGGTAATGTACTGTGAATTGTTTGCATACCAGGGTCAAAAAGGCAAATGAAACCTAGTGATCCGACATTTAAGACTATTTACTTTCTGTCTATATGGAATTAGGAGTTCTTCCATACTTTTGAACTCTTCATCATACCTAAAATAAGAGAAGCTTAAGCAGAAGTTTCCTTTTGGTAGTTTTGCCTTCTGAGATGTTTGAAAACAGCTTATTCAGGTGCTAGTCCATATGTTACTTTTTTCTCTTAAAGAGGTATAGATTAAAAGTGGCTACAATGCTGCTGTTATAGAAGTGGCTACAATGCACAGTATAGCCCTTTTTTTACCTGTTACTGCAGGGGCAATGCATGTACCATGCAGAGACTCCCACTGTGCCTTCCCCTTGCAGTTCCCCCAGTGGAGAAACTCAGTGTTAGTGGCAGACAGGAATGGGTTGCCCTTAGAAAAGAATTCCCTTGTTTTAAAACGATTAATAGTCATCATATCTTTCTTGGCCGCCTGTCAGGCCAGGAGGCCTCTGAAAGTGGCAGATGAAAGTAGAACTTGTAAAACCGATAGAATGTCAATAGTGATAAAGACAAGCAATAATAATCATACCAGGCCAGAGTAAAATAAGCTGATTTTGAGGTCTCCTAGAAGCTTGCATGGCAGACCCCAAATGGTGTCATATTCCAGCGTATGGGGCCACTGGCTATACCGCCCTCTCCTGTGTGGTCACTGCTCATATTGGTGGACAAATGAAAACGGCCTGTGTTACTCTCATTGGTGGACAAATAAGAACTGCAGCTCTTGTTGGTGGGCAAAGAAGAAGGGCCTGTCTTACTGATCTTAAAAGATGGGAGCGTTAACACAGTGGTGGCGTTTCTTCAAGTAAGTTGCTCCCAGATTGTTCACAGCTTTAAAGATCAAGACCAGGGCGTAAGCAACACAAGGAGCAGTATAGACACAATATGATCCCCCACACCAGTGCCCAGGTGGCTGGATTCTGTACCAGCTGAAGCTTGTGAACCATTGTCGAAGGCCGCCCCACGTACAATGCATTATAGTAGTCTAGCCTGGACGTCCCTAGTGCATGGGTAACAGTGGCAAAGTCTCCATATAGGGAGAGAGCCTAAGCTTGTAAAATACATGTGTATGCCTCCCATCCCTCTGAGGTTTCCCAGTTAGTGCAAAGTTCTGGAGAACTTCCAGATTGTGCCCTTGGTCTTTAGGAGAAGTGCAGCTCCATCTCAGTCCAGGTGAAACCTTCATCCAGAGTCATTGGTCTCCCAACACAGAGTGGCTCTGTCACATTTCAGTTTGTGTATCCTTACTCCCCCGTCCCACCCCAGACAGTCACCAGATACTGGTTTGCAAATTCCCCATGAATGCCTGGCCTACTACCAATGTGTAAGATAATCCTTGAAACCACAGAAGTATCGAAGCAAAAGGGGGGGGGGGTGTCATCTTATACACCTGACATAGGACAAACACCAGAAAGACAGCCCAGAATATCAACCTCGTCTTATTTATGGATCACCTTATACACTGGTATATACAGTATTTAGCTAATATTCCTGCTGTATAAATGTATTACAAATTGCAAGATGAGCCACACTGTCTTAAAGAAAAGTTTATTGGAGGAATCCTGTTACAAATTTTCTGCATCTCTGTCCAGGGAGAATAGCTTCACACGCAGTGCGCCAAGTGTCATTATAGTGCAACCCGTGCCATTTCTTGTCTCTTGCAGAGCCTTCCTTAGACACAACCTATGGCATGATTGTAGCGGACCTGTGCCGTTCGCTGCTCACAGGCACGAGGGCGTCCTATCTTTTGACAATCAGAAGCCATTTCATACTGGATGAAAACAGCTATCCTTTGGAGAAGGAATTCAGTCTGCTGGGTTTTCATCTTAATCTCTGAAGAAAAAACTTTTGGGACTGTTTAGCCAGTTCTACCCTCCACACCCCAGTGCCTCCGTGACTGTAAAAAATGAATGCTTATTTTTAACTATATGTATAAAGTCTTCCTGATTTACTTTTATTTTTACAAATGCCCATTGTATTATTTATCAATACCAATTGTCTCTGTGCCAGAACTTCCGGTCACCTATTAATAAATTGGCATTTATTTATTTATTTATTTATTTATTTAAAACATTTCTATGCTGCCCCCATTGCAACAAAGCCTCGGGGCGGCTCACAACCAAAACAAAAACAAACAAAATCTTATATACATTTATGCACTAAAAATATTAAAACCCGATGCATCTCGGCTTAAATTTTTTTTAAAAAATCCCCCATAATAAATTATCACTTAAAATAAGTTTTAAATAAAAAGGTCTTAGCCTGGCGCCGAAAAACAAATAACGACGGCGCCAGGCGGACCTCTCTGGGAAGCGCATTCCATAGGTGGGGCTCCACCGCAGAGAAAGCCCTCCTCCGGGTACTCACCCTCCTAATATCCTTCACGGAGGGCTCCCGGAGAAGGGCCTCTGCCACTGATTTCGGGGTGGGAGGGCATATATGGACACAAGCGTTCCTTTAGATATCCAGGGCCCAAGCCGTTTTATGAGTAGTATTTTCTTGTCAATCTTTAATCCTCCAGATATCAGACCTTTCCAGAAAGTAAATCAGTGCTGAAGTGTTCTGCAAACACACTGCCCACATTTTTCATGTCTTGCCTAAGAAAATAGCTTTCCCTGTCCCGCCCTTCTATGTTGACTACAATATAATGTGATATTCATCATAAAATCAAAGCCTTGAATACCTTAAGGAATGTAAGCACTTAAATTCTGATCCTCCCCATGCCCACACTGCAAGAGCTTTTCATCTTGAACTCTCAGACTCTGGATTCAGCCTTGTTATTAAGAAATCAAATAAAGCTATTGACTTAATACTTTTGCATTCATGCTAGAAATTTCCTTTTATTTCCTGGATTAAATTTAAGTGTAGCTAGAAGATTGCAGGCATGTTCCAAAGCAAACATTTGTTTCTATAGTAACATTCGAACAAAGGAAGAGAGCAATTTAAATTATGTTTATTTAATAGGAATCTGAGAAATCTGATAGATAAAAGGGCAGCAGATCTGTTTCCTAGGCTTGTCCTTTGGAAGTGGTGCAAACTGAGAATTTGTGCATAATTTACAAAAGTCAAATTGCTTCTTAGAATGGAATTAGTAAACCAGGATACTTCGGGATGCCCAATTGCAGAGTTAATTGAAGGAGTGAGCAGGCAAATGAGTTGTTTCGTTGTTCTTCCCCTCCACAGCTTTCTCACTTACATCTGTCACTTCATCAGTACCAATATGCATGCAGCAATGGCTTATTCAGGACTTGGATAAGCACTGACTCGTCCAAGATTCTCTGCAATGTGGGGATTACTGAGGTTTATCTAAACTAAATTAAATTGGTTAAACAGACTTCATCTCCCAAGAGAACCTTTGGAACCGTAGTTCTGCAGATCTCTAACAAAAATTTCAGCACTGTTGGCAGACAGAGGCTTGGAATTCTTGGGAGGAAGCTGTGATGCTGAAACTGGTACAATTGCTATGTAGAAATAACCTGAATGGTCATGGCTCACTAATGCTGCATGGAGCAAGTTGCTTCCAAGTGGGCACAACCACAGCAGTGGGACTGAGGAACACAAGTATATCTACCCTTTGAGATTTGACCAGCTCCCATTCTTTTGGCTTTATGAAAATTTACTTTCAGTCTGGCATTTTACATTGTTTTTAAGGGTTATGAATGGTTATAAATCTGCCATTTGCTGATTTAGACAGAAAAAAGCTAGGAGATGCTGGAAGTTACAGGCCTTTTTTCTGTCTAAACTTAAGATTGTGCCTTAGCACAATTTTGTTGAAGATGCCTATGTATAGTGTTGCTCTTTTGACTTTATTTGCTTTACACTACCTGCTGACTCTATTTCATTTTTATACCCACCCAATAGCAGTTAACAGTAGTTGCCTCACTTCTGCAGTAAGGTGATAGAAAACTGAATAAAAATTGAGAGAGAGCAAGCCTTGTGATAAGTGATCCCTTGAATCAAGGAGCGTAGGAAGTGGCTTTATTCCAAATCACACACCTTGGCTGTCTGACTCAGTCTACCCAGATTCCCACTGGCACCCCAGAATTTAAAACCGAGGTTTTTCACGTCACTGGCTCCCTGACCCCTTTAGCAAAAGATGCTAAAGTAGTGAACCTGAGACCTTCTTTGTGTAATCCAGCTGAGCTATGGTCCCTCCCTCAGTTTAGGACTACTGCAGAAATATTCTAATACATTTTTATGGGTATAAGTTCACTGTACATGGTCTAGGATTCTTCCTAACTATGACCAGACATGTGTGCCTGCTAGCAAGATAGGAACAACAGAATTTGATCATGTCTGACCCATTTGTCTGTAATCTGAAGGCACTACAAATGTTCGATATGTTTACATGTCTTTTCCACTTACCACCATCATCATCCAACACATGAAGTACCTGCTTGATTGATTGAACCTGCCTGATTGTAAGCAGGATTTAGAGCAGTAAAAAATCTACACTGGCCTTATACTGAAAGACAATGTTAGATTGTGCCCACATGTGCTGAGTCTAATAGATATGATGCAGAAGGGCAAAAAATGCATGGGGAGAGAAAAGGAAACCAAACACTCCGTGATAACAGCTTGTTTCAAGTTCTATTGTATGAGCAAGCTAGATTAGCCTCTTCCTGTAGCAGCCCCAGTGTTGTGGAAGTATCTCCCGAAAGAGGCGGCTAACTTTCTAAAAACAGGCAAAACCTGATTTGTTTGATTAGGCCTTCAAAAACCAGCTTTCTAATTCTGCTCTTACATGGATTTTGTTGATGCTGCTCTTTCTTGCTTTCTCTCTCTCTTTCTCTTGTTTGCTATATTTAGACAATTATTTTGCGAATGTTTTATTTTGTTTGTGGGCAGCTTGCAAAATATGAAAAGTGGTTTATAAACTAAGTTTAGTCACATTTCCTTGTTGGGTCAAGCTGTTCTCAACAGCAGCCAATCAGATGTTTTGGAGCATCCATTCCTTTGACCTCAGCACCTGATATATGTAACCACCTCTGTAGAAGGAAGTTCTGTTAAATTGTATTGGCTAATCCTTATCAGGTAGATCTGTCCTCCATTATTAGTTATGGTTGATCTTCCACATTGATACTTTACATTTTATTCCTAATAGTCTCTCTTTGTGAGAAATCCTTGGTATAGTAATGCCAGGAAAAACTAGGCCATCTGGTTTCCAGCTATTACCTTGTATATTCAGAGGCTGCCACCTTTACCTGCTGGAGACCCTGCGAGTTAGAACCACACTGCTGCCTGACCCCCAAAATGACTGTTTTAAAAATAAACATTTGTTATGGGGAAAAAGTTACGTGGAACAATATTGAACAAATTTAGCTTGTTTCAAGCTAAATTTGACCCTTTAGGGCTTCTTAGTGGCCATGAAGCCCTAAAAGGCCAAATTTAACTCCCTAAAAATATTTTTAAACAAGTGGGTGGGACAGGGAGGGCCACACCGGGCACCTGGTTGCCAAATTCTGGTGATGGAGCTTTTCATTGTGTGCTTCACAGCTGACCTTACTGGAAGTGCCTCTCACCCAGTCAAGCTGTTCAATCCAGAGCCTAAGATCAACTGGCAAAGGGCTGAACTCAAATGTTCCTGCAACAGCACTAGCTTGCCATGAAAAATTTCTTTCAATAATGTAATAGTACCGGTGATTGAAGTGGCTAGAAAGCAGAGGGCTACACTAGGCCTTTCTCTTGCTGAATTCCTTGGGGTGGTAAGTTGCGACTTCAGAGAAGACGTGGAGCAAAATTCTGCAAAGCCTTTATCACTGCAGTCAGAAGAAAAGAAATTGCTTGGCTGCTCTGAGTTTTTGACTTGCAATTTTCATCATTTGAGCAGCTTTCTGTGTATGCAGTTTTCTTCATACTCTTTGTGATTTAGTTTCTCATACACATCTTGACTGAGTGTCTTAAATGCTATGCAAACCAAATGAGGGTCTCAAAATTACTACTGTGCTACAGTCAAAATATGTCAACTCTTTCCATAAAGATCAATATTTTGAGAAGGACCTGGCAGAAAGCTGATAAAAGTCATTGGGTGACATTTAATACACATACCACAATTGTCAGAGAATAATGCACAGACTTGTTTTAATGACACAAAACGTACTTTTCTGTAAGAGAAGAGAACTCTATTCTCGACTAGAAAGTGACAAGAAAACAGCATTGCTGTCACAATTTTAACAACACCAAACATTACAAACTGCAGGCAAAGTAGAACTGACTCAAAAGGCACGAGTTCTCCATTTTAAGTCTTGACCAAAGACACGTTCTTTCCCTACGTCAACAGGAACAGAACATAACCAGTACAATCCTATGGCATCAGAAATAAACCACAATGAGTTCAGATGGTTCGATTCTAATTTGCAGCCCCAAATGATCAGGTAATAAAAGGCATAGTCACTTTTCCAGGATCCAAAGTAACTTTTTTGGTGACACAGAACCTGCCATGCCCCACTGCTCAGGTCCTGTAAATTTGTACAATTTATCCATGCAACTGAAGTTTTTAAAAAAATGTATAAAAACAGCTTGAGGGAGATAAGAAAACGGGAAGCTTTCTGCACCCGATTTCTGTTCCTGTGAGACATCTGCAGGAAAGCAAAGATTTCTTGAAAAAATGTCAGAACCGTATCAAGCATTGATACATAGTTTTGTATCCCATGCTACACTCCATTGCATAACTCACAGTGTGAACATCTTGTGCATCAGTTATCCTCAGTCTGAAATGTTGGTTCCCATCATCCCCAGGCAGCATAGCCAATAAGCAGGGTGTTGGTCTTTGTGGTCCAAAGTCACCCCAGGAGGGAACTTCATGTGCATCACGCAGAAATGTCCATCCTGCTCCCACACTTGAAACGATTGTCCCAACCATTGGCATTAGTGATGGTTGGGGGTTACGTGTGCACTGATGCAGACAAGATTTCTTTGTCATTATTGTTTACAAAGCCATTTCAAACCATGTATGGCTTTAGTTGCTGGCTTACAAGGGACTTGTACTTGAATTGAGGCCCATGTGATGAAAAATCGAGGTCAATACCAGGGAGCGGAGGCAGAGGGAATACGGGTTACTGACCATCTCTGCAAACTGGGAAACTGCATAATGAATACATGGTGCTCTTCCCAAAACCTCTTTGATGCTGGCATTACATTTAAAAAAGATAAAAGGGAAAGAAAACCAAGAATAAAAGCCTGCATTTTTTTTTTTTTTTGCTAAGACGCTGTATTGTGTTAATTAACACAATATCCAGTTTCAGAGGGAAGCCTCTCTTTCTTCAACTAAAACTATTTCCTGATTTTTTTCTTCCCTCACTGGCTGTTGGTCTAAGGTATAATTTCATAATTACAAAAGATCTTAGTTTGAACTCTCAAATTACCTTGTTTCATTTTAAAGGGGTAGTTTGCATATGCTTGGTAAATATAAGAAAGGGTTACAGTTAGTAATTATGTAAATGCATCATAACAAAATGACTGGATCTCAGGAAAGATACCAGTTGTTTTCCTTCTCAGATTTGCATCCACATAGCCTGATCTTCCTACTTTTGGAGGCACACCTTAATGTAATGAGAAGGGTTGAGAGCATCCGAGAAGCCAAGGGCAATGCCACAAGGAGGTCAGATGCGGAAGACGACATCAAAAACTTTCATGAAAGCACCCAAGAGGAAGTTGATCACACACCAAAACAAGTCATGCTGATAATCCTAGATGACTGGGACACAAAAGTAGGAAACAAAGCAGAATCCCATATTGTAGGGGAATATGGCCTGAGGTTCAGAAATGAAGGAGGGAGACAACACATAGAATTCTGTGATGTCAACAATTCTGTTTATTGCAAATATATACTTCAGGCAATCAGCCAGAAGGTTGTTCAGATGGGCATCACTAGATAGGAAATTAAGAAAACAAAAAGACTACCTGATCAGAAGTAGGTGATCTTGCTGCCTGAACTACTTCGGAGATGACTCACTAACCCACTGCACTCTTCTGAATAAGTATTTTGAGGTTTGCATTATATTAGTACTCCAGAACAGGACATACCTGCTACATAAATAACTATATTTAACACACAATGGTTTGTTCCATTTTGTTCAGACACCTGTATGTTCAGCAGGAATACTGCAGAGTTATCCAAAAGGGAAGAACACACTTTTGAAAGAGTAGGGTTTTAGTTACGTGGAGGATAAATTGGACACATCAAAACACACACATGGGTCACAATCCAGTCACAGGTGCACTTAAGCCCACTGATTTCAGCCGTAGATTATAGCTAAGGTTATGTTGGTTGCCAGACATCAAATTTCAACCATCTATATTAGAAGTGGTGATGCGGCCTGCATTCCTCTCACTCATTTAAGGAGTTTTCGTTTCCCCAAGTATCATATTCCACTCTGCAGCAAGTGAGACTGAAAGTCTCCTGATTTAAGATCAAGTTCAAATCTCCTTCAGAGGCCTTACCCATCGTCTTTGACCACCAAGCCACAGCACTTCTGCAATGAACGTAACCAGAAGAAGCATTTCAAGGACCCATCCTGGGTATATATAACACAGTTGAAATGGCTTCACTGCCCATACATATGGAAAGAAAGCATCTCTGGAAGAATGTGATCCATCCCTCAGCTGCTCGGGGAGAGTGCATGCCACCTTTTCACCAGCTCCTTGGGGTTGCTGACCATCTCGTTCCAGTGCTCCAGCTCCTTTCCCCTGGTGTACATGAAGGGCCCAACAACGACCCGGCCCAGTGAATAGGTTTCTAAATACCAGCAGAAAAACAGTGTGATTAAAACACAAGTCTGCATCAACACGCCTGCCAAACTACTCACCCAAGGATTATTTCTTCAAGTGGAGGGGCAACATTCCTAGCCTGAGTGAGCAACATTCTTAACCTATGTAAGCAACAGAGAAAAAATGTGTACAGCTTTTCTCCCTTTCTAACAGTCCCTTCCTTATCTTTCATATTCTTGCTCATCTTTCTCCCTTCTTTCGCCCTGTATATAGCTACCTCCCCCAACCCTGTAAAACATGGATGCTCTCAAGTGCCATTTGTCCATGGCCAAAACTGGCTTTACGATGGGGATACAGTTGCCCCTTCCAAAAGCTCCGCTCCCATCTCTGAATTGGGGAGTCTGCTCCCAGTCTCCCCAGGGTAACATCTGAAATGGGGAACCGCATGGGACAGGGAATGATGTGGTCACTCTGCCACCCCCCGTGATGTTTCTGCTTCCAACATGGCTGACAATCATGGCGCACAAGAAACACAATCATTGGACTTATGAGCCATTCAGTCTTCAGCTTCCCGTTTCTGGGTGAATAGCAAGAAGATCAGACTGCGCCACGATGTGCCAAGAAGAAATCTCACCGTGTGAAAGGTGACATGGGCGTGGCTTCATCATCCCATGTGAAAATGGGGTATACAAAGATGGACACCTTGCCCAACACAAATGCGCAAGCATGAGCAATTGGTGGCTGACTCTATGTGGTGTCACCCATTCATGCTTTGAAACCAGCAATATTCATTCCTGTAGTCTTTTTTAGGATGAGTGAGAATTAAGGCTGCCATCCTAGCACTTTTCACTCGGTGGAGGGAGAAACACCGTGTGACATACTTCTGAGACAATATGGAAACAATTATGGTAGTTGCTATGACTGTTTCTATCCTGCCAGTTTTCCTCTTGCAGGAGCCCAAGGGGGCTTGCATGGTCCTCATCTGCTCTGCTTTATCCTCACAACAGCAGCCCTGTGGGTTGGATCAGGCCAAAAGGAAGTGACTGGGCCAGTCTCCCAGAGAGCTTCATGGCCGAGCAGGGCTAGAACCTGGACTTCCTAGGTCCCCCGTCCAGCGGTCTTCCCACCAGACTCCACAAAAGGTAGCAAACACCTAAACTGAGATGTTTCAGAGGAAATATACCTCATGCATAACCCATTTGAGACATGCTAGTTGCAAGTGATGTCACCATATTAGGAAGCTCAGGGGGTGGAAAGCCCCACAACCTCTTAGTAGGGCCAGTGCAGGACACTTTGCTGCTCAGGGTGATGCACCCTGACCCCTACGACTCAAGGCGTGGAGGCCAGCCAGATTGTTTTGGCAGGAAATCTCAGAATTGCTTCTCTCCATGCTTGGCTGTTGTGCTACAACAATATTTTGATTGAACTATCATATGCTGCCTGTCATGCTGCCCCGGAGCTCCTTCCCCCTCCTTCTGCCTTACAAGGGCTGGTTTCAGACCTCACAGGATGGGGCCTTGCAACCCAACACAGGGTAGGTATCCTGACACAGAGCAGATGGTGCTTTTTGCAAAGCACGCCACTGGGCCGGGAGCAGCTTCGCCTGGTCACTGGCTCTGTGTCGGGATGCGATTAAAGGCTAAAGGCGCAACTGGGGGCAGCCAGAGTTGGGCAGGGAGTTGGCAACTCTCAAAGCTCCCCACAGGATCATAGCAACAGCCTTCTCAAGAGACAGCTGCTCCCACGCTTCAAGTTCTTGCAAACCCATCGGGCTGCCCCACGCAGATTCCCCAATGGGCCATTTTCCAAGATCCGGGGGTGCCATTTCCAAAGGAAGAGGAGATTTTATTTATGGAGTTAATAAATAACATATTTAATGGATACCACCGAATACCTGAAGCTCCCTGGCCAGTTTACGAAACACTTAAAAATACAGCATAAAATACAAGCAGCATCATAAAATTATCATAAAATACAACTATTCAAAACGTTAAAAACAAATTTGAAACATATGTAAAAAAGCTTTAATAGCTTATGCAATTAAATCATGAGCCCTTTTTAAGACCCAATATAGTAGCAAACTAATTAAATGCCATTTGGTAGAGGAGAGTCTTAACCTGGGGCCAAAATATATTAAAGTTTGTGCTCCTCAGTAGGGAGCTTGTTTTATAGCAGTTTTGGACTGGAAATGCAGGAGATCGGAGTCCTAGTTCAGACTTGACTATGACACTCACTCTCAGCCCAACCTACCCCACCTGCTAGCTACTGTGAGGATAAACGGAGCCATGCGAGCTGCCCTGGGTTCCTCAGTGTCCGGATCAGGCCCTGAGCGACCCTGCAATTGCTTGCAGAACCAGGAACACCTTTGCGGGCACCTGCAGGAGACACCTGAGGAGCAAGGCTTCCCTGCACGGCTGCTCTTTGCCATGGCAACACAAGTTGCCCCGGTGACTCTGTGTGCTCTGGTCCCTGCATTGCGATGTCTCGCTCCAGTGTGCTCCTGCCTCGCACCAGCCTCTGCCCTTCTCCATCTTTTCTCTGAGTAGACCCTGCCTCGCCCCAGCCTGTTGCAGCCCTCACAACCTCTCTCCGGTAAGCTGACCCTGGAACTGTGCTCTGACTCTCGTTCTCGCTCCCTAGGCCTGGCGTCCTGCCCTTCCCTACTGCCGCCCATGGTCTGGCCCTCACACTGAGAAGAGCAAAAGTGATGGGGTATAACTGCAGTGTCTGTTGTGGTGGTGGTGGTCGTCACTACTACTACTGGGGACCACCGCAGAAGAGGTGCTCCTGCTTGTCGCCAGCAACTGTGCCTCTCTCAGAGGTGGCACCTGCTTCCTGCCTGCAGATCTGGATCATAGCGACTGGGTCGACGGCTGCTGGGAGAGGCACTGTGGTCCCTAGCTGTGTAGGGCTTCATAGTTTAATACCAGCACCTTGACCTCAGCTCAGAGACACAGAGGCTACCAGTGCAAGCCGGCCAGAAGTGGTGTAATGTGTTCAGACCTTCTGGTTCCTTGTATTAATCTGGCTGTTGCATTTTGCGGTGGCAAATGTTCGCGAAATAAAAAAGAGCCCTCCTGGATGGTTTCAAGGTGAAGTTGTAGGGGAAAGAAAAGCATGCCATGGCTCCACTTTCTAGTAGTGACCACCCTGCAGCTCTACATCATAACTTTAGCCTCCCCCCTGGGAGAGAAGGGTAAGTGAACCAGATGCTGGAAACAGCACAAGTAGACAAGCAACTCCTTACTGGCTTCTTCAGCGTCCTGAAGCACAGAGAGACTCAGGCTTGCCGTATCGAGATCTAGCTGCCCAACCTTGAAGCTGAGCGTCTCATTGTACAACGGATTGGGGGATCCTACGATGGTCGAGGTCCTTTTGCTTTTGATGACCTGATTATGGTTCATGAGCGACACCTTGACAAACACACCTGCAAGGAGAAGACAGGATGGAAAACTACACCAGGCAGACAAGCCATTCCTGAAAAAGCCGTCTTGGGCCTCCACCCACCCCTTCTCCATAGACTGCACTTTGGGGAGCTGCAATCTGGACTAGAACCTTAATGATCCCAACAAACTATGACAGCATCCCACATATATCGACAATCATCCTGAAAAAACTGAAGCTGCATTTCAAAAATTTAGGGAGGTATGTGATGCTGCCCACTTAATCAGCAGAACCCCCTTGATTACACAACAGGGAACCAGAAGTTGCCATTCATTTCTGCAATGGGTACATCGCTGGAGCTTGCAGAAGGGAGTCCCAAGTTTCGGCTCGTTCCCAGAGCTGCTTAAGCGGCACTAGCTCCTTTGGCATCAGGGGTGGAGCCCAAGAGCACAACTGAATCTGCAGAACTTCAACGGCATTAGCAGCCACTCACCACATCTCTCTGTTTTCCACCATCCCGAACATATACCCTGAACAAGAATGTGCCACTTGCTAACCACCAAGAACTCAGCCTATTTGTCAATTCTAACCTGCAAATTGAGCTAATGAAATCTGACAATAAGGCCTACAAACCAATAAACATCCATCGATATTTTTATTTATTTATTTAAAACTTTTATATGCCATCCGTCATGCAGGGCATCTCACGACAGCTTACAATCATTAAAACAGACACAATAAAACAACATCTCAATATAATAAATAACAAATAACTAAAAATATAAGTTGTTAAACAGAAAGTGACTGTTGAACATTAAAATTAGTTTTTAAAGTAAGAAATGAATATTTATTTATTTATTTAGAAAATTTCTATGCCGCCCCATTCGCCGAAGCCTCGGGGCGGCTTACAAATAAATCAATTAAAATACTATAAATTAACAATATAAAACAAGTTAACAATATAATAAAAAGGTTTTAACCTGGCACCAAAAAGAATATAAACTCTTTATCTTATAAAGATAAAAATATAAAGTTTCAGTGGTGTTAATGCAATAAACAGAGGAACAGAAAAGTGCATCTCAAACCATCTATTTTACATCATTTTAATGTACTGTTAAAGTTATTGAACATCATACTTGCATTGCTCACTATCCGATCTGTGTTGTCGCTATATAAGAAATACATAAATAAAAATGAAAGCTTACATCTCTTCCAGGACTTACCAACAGCATGTCTTTCATTCTGGAACTTCAGGCCCCTTGCTCTCAACACCACCACAGTTAGACGGCCCAGATAGTCATTAAAGCTGAGGGAGAACTGGAGGTCACCGTATTCCGAAGGCGGCTTTGGGGAGGAGGAAAATCATCAGGGGGTTGCCTGGTAAATACACAGTTTCATTGGATGCTCAGCAGTAAAAGCAGGTTGCCTTCCTTCTCGGTTAATGTAAAATTGAGTGTGTGTCTGGCATAGCCAACAAGCTTTCGAGGTGCAAGTGGAGAGCTCCGCCAGCACAAGGCGCTGGAGTTTGAACAGGGGACGGCTCACCCAGCGCCTGGGTCCAGGTGAGAACCCAGACGCTGGACCAGTGTCTCCTCTCACTGCCATCACCAAAGGACACGCGCAGCCTGAAGACCTGGGGAAAATCCAGGTCCCACAGCGAGAGGCACTGAGGTTGCCATCCCTGAAGAAAAGCGCAAGACGGGATCTGGGGCTCTAGCCCTCCTGGGCCAACTCTAAGGGTATATTTATTTATTTACTTATTTATACACAGTTTCTATCCAGGATAGGTTGGACGTGCACATGGTGGGCATGTCGTGAGCGGAGCCGGCTGGAGCCAGGGGTCAGACTAGATGGCCCAGGAGGCCCCTTCTGACTCGCTCTGTTTCTATGTATGCCAAATCTGCTTGTGTGCTGATGTGGCTTGTTTCAAGAAGAAGAGGGTACATTTCACTAGCCCTGCACCCAATTAGCTCAGACCTCTTCACCAGTCTCTTAATTGCCATCCCTTGGATCCAGCTGTCTTCAGAAGCAAACTCCAGACTCTTAATAGTGCTTAGCAGAGGCAAAAACACACAAGCCATCATTCTACCCAGCAGCTTTTCTCAAAACTACTGCTCATGTTATGACTTCAATTTAAATGAGAGCATCAGAAAGATCCTGCAATAGCATTAATTTCCCCAATTACCTTTCCAGATACTTAATTGCTTCACATTCACTACTGCAGAGAGCTTGAATTAGCTTTTTCTTAGCTCATTCTATCTGACAACATGGAGCATGAACTCCGGAATTCAGCTACCCACGCTCACAGCGGAGGAGGTTTGAGTGTAGGAAATCCCATAATCACCGTGCCACTTATCAAATGAACTCTGCCTTGGGTTCAGCACGTACCTCTGAGGGCTCCACTTCCAAATCTCGCCAAACCACCACCTTGCCATCACCAGTGAAGGTTTCATTTCTCAAGGGGAACGTTATCTGACCCAGGAGAATGTGCTTCTTCTGCTTGTCAACATGGTAGACACAGAACTTCAGCGTTCTTTGGTATAAGGAATTACTGGAAATCTGGAAAGTACCAAGCAGAGTAGAGTTGCTAAACCTATTTGGCCCCTCCCAAAACAGCTTCCAATCAAGAGGAAGACCAACCAAGAGGCCTTGACAATTATTTGGGGTGTCTCATGTGGGTTCGCTTTTGGCTATCAATGCTTGGAAGATGCCAAGGCTAGCCCAAGATGAGGCGCTGCTGCCTGAGACCAAGGCCGGGGTGCCCCTACCTTCCCGTGTACAGAAATCAGGTAGACGGGCAACAGGGCTTGTCCAAGGTGTTTAGGGTGCAGTCCGATGCTCATTTAGACAGAAAAGCACCCTCTAACTCCCAACATGCTCCAGCCAGCCATGGAATACAGCATGCAGGGAGGTGTAGGATTCCACCCCCCCCCACCCGCCAGACATGCATAGGATTGCAACCTTGTTCTATTTGTTCATTTATTCATTTCAGTTCCAGTTCTCCAGTCAGTTCACAAAATTACCAAACACAGATGCAGGAAATGCAACATACATGTCAATATCCATAAGTTTTTTTTTAATTAAACTGCTAAAAACCTATGAACGATTGTGTTGCGACCAGAGGCAAAGGACAAGATAGAAATGTTCCTCGCCTCACCACCCTTGGTTCCATCTGCAGAGGCCAAATGGACTGGAAGCTGAATCTTGCTTCAGGGTGGCTGATACAACAACATCTTCTACCTGGCTTGAAGGAAGCAAGCTAGTCTAGGAGGGGCGAGGTGGGCCACGACCTCTCTCCTCACCCAAGAGGAATGGGCAGAAGTTCTCCACAACACCCAGTAGCTGCTGCCGGCGGTGAGCACCTCACTCTGCCTAACGATGGAGCCAGCCCTGAGTGGTAGCTGAATCTCACCTGGATGCTGGTGCTGGGACAGCATCTTCCACTGCACCCAACAGCAGCAGGCCAGTCTGGGGGGACCATTCTGGCTGTTCCGTCCTCCCGTTCCTTGCCACTGCTTGCTGTCCTTGGGCACCCACTGCCTCTGGCCTTTCTGACTACTGATAGGACCAGCAGCAGCTCTAGCATCCCATCCCTACTCCATGAGCAGAAGAGCGTACCTGGAAAACGAAGGTCTCATCAAACTGAGGGTTGAGAGCTTTGCGCTTGGTCTTGGACTGCAAAAAGCGCCTCTCATCAGGAAGCAGGTAGATCTTCACCAAGGGGTTGCAGGAGCTGGAGGGAGGTTGCAGCTTTCGGGCTTTGATCAAGCAGACAAGGAGTCTTTCTGACTCTTGTTCGTATTCCACTGAGAACCAAAGACGACCGATGTTTCCTTCAGGGAAGTTGGTCTCACTCTCGTCTTCAGGGAACCGGTACAGCTCTGGGTTGATAGTTCCTACAAGGTATGCTCCAGCTTCACGGAGAGGGAGGAAATCACCAACTTTGTGTTAGTCTCAGATCCAAAAAATGTATTTTGTGTGTGTGTGTGTGTGTGTGTGTGTGTGTGTGTGTGTGTGTGTGTGTTGCTTCTACAGGAGGAACTCTGGGCCATTCACACATGCAGGTTCATCACTTGATGACTGCTGGATTGTGTGGAATGTGTGAATGAGTCATGAAAGGTCAGACACCCAAGAAAGAACTTCCAGGTCACAAATATCATTCTGCCCCATTGAGCTTTTTCAGCACTGAGCTTACAACCATCAAGCAACGCAGGTGTGAATTTGCACCCAGTGACAGCTAGTGGCTCCAGTGTCAGTGGGGTGGTGTATCTAAATTGGTCTAAATTTTTAAAGAGCTATCCAAACCCCAAGGGAAAAGTTCAGGACCAGGGACATCTCCTTTGGCGTTCCAGCCACTGCTGCTTGCGCCTCTGAACACTGTGAATCTACCTTGAAGATGGGGTCCCCTGATGCCTACTGCATTTTGACTGAAGCACTGGAACAACACACTCCATCATCCTGAGGAAACTGGCACCTTTTCCTCTCTTGCATGATTCCTTGTGCGGGTCAATGAGCATCACAGCCTGCAGCGGCCTGATTTCCAGACCCGAGCTTAGCTGCAGCATGGGCCAGTCCATGCTGAAGACCTAAGGATGTTGATGCAGATCAGAGCTATGGGTGGGAATTCCTCCTGGGGGACTTCCCAGGAGCTAAAGGAGGCAGAGGAGGTTCTGTGGGCTGTACTAGAGAGGCAGACAGGTCAGGATCCTGCACCTCTGATACAGCCACACCATCCAGGTTGTTATTTTTCACCTGGCAACCTTCCCTTCTAGGCACGCGTGCGCGCGCGCGCGCGCGCACACACACGCACACACACACACACAATGAATGCTAGACATGGCTGAGAGGAGGAAGTTCCACCTCCTCCTATTGTACATGGGAAATATGGAAGACCTTCCACCAGGTCATTTTATTTATTTATAATAGTTATATGCCGTCCTATTTGCAAAAAAGCCTCAAGATGGCTTACAATGTAATATATAACATAAATGACAATAATAAAGTTCCTGACCCACACTGGCTGCGATTAAAAACATAGAAAATACAATATTAAAACTTATTAAAATACCACTGGAATAAAAAGGTCTTAACCTGGCACCGAAAAACAAATAACGACGGTGCCAGGCGGACCTCTCGGGGGAGCGCATTCCATAGGTGGGGCGCCACCGCAGAGAAAGCCCTCCTCTGGGTGCTCACCCTCCTAATGTCCTTCATGGAGGGTTCCCGGAAGACAGCATCTGCTGCTGATCTCAAGGGGCAGGAGGGCAAATATGGAAGTTAGTCTATTTGTCCACTAACCCAGATCCTTCCACTCCTGACAAGCAGCAGCTCCCCAGGTTGTCCAGGAAAGGACTTCCTCGCTTCCTGGGAAATGCCAGGAATGGTTAAGCCCACGTTCCAACATTCAAGATATAGCAGAAGTAGGCCAGCTGGTGTTCTCCAGATGGTTTTGGACTACGTTCCCATCAGTCTCAGCTACCATGGCCAATAATAATAAGGATTTATAGGATTGGCCATGCAAAAATTTAATAGATTTAACCAATAATAAATAATAAAACATCTGGAGGGCATTGGCTTGCCTACCCCATGGTCTCCTTCTGCATCTGTAATGACGTGCTCACTATTCTCTCAGAATGCAATCAATAGATTAGAAGGATATGTAAGGCAGGGACATGGACAGGTGCGTCTGCCTGCAGAACTGGACCCAGACTTAGTCTTGCTTGAATAGACCCACTGAAATCCAAAGGGCAAGTTAGCCATGACTAACTAAAGGCCCAGGTTTCATTTTAACCATGATTAAGCCTGGATCCAATCCATTGCTAGTATATAACATACCCTGGTTCCTCAAGTTGTACTCACCTCGGTAGCATTAACCTACCTAAAGAATGGAAAGAGGATCGAGGCCCAGAGTCAGGGGTAATGTAGAGGTCACTTTCCTCCTGAATTTGTTCTCCGTTTATCATATCAACCAAAGTCTGTCTATGAAATTTTGGTGGAACGATAAAAGGGACGCTTCTTGTCCTGCCCAAAGACAACCACCACATTTCTTGGATTAAGGAAACAAAAAGGTGCCAAGCATTCAACGGGTAGCCTCAGAATAATCCAGCCAGAGCTAAACCCTTTCAAATCCTACTGACCAAAGTGGGTGAGGTTTAAATATGTGTTTAAATTTCTCAAGATCTCTTCTTGCTGATGCCAGAGTGTAGGATACAGAATAATCAATTCAGGTTGCGACAACCCAGATTCAGGCTGGACATCAAGAGAAGCTTCCTCACTGTCAGAGCAATAGGACAGTGGAACCAGCTGCCTGGAGAGGTGGTGGGCTCTCCCACACTGGAGACATTCAAAAAGAAACTGGACAGCCATCTGAGTGGGATGGTGTGACCTGGTGTCCTGCAACAGCCGGGGGTTGGACTCGATGGCCTCCATGGCCCCTTCCAGCTCTACTATTCTATGATTCTATGAAATAGGACTTGAAAGTACTTAGCTTTGGATGGATTGTGCCCATGCGTTTCTAGAAATTATATACAGCACACTCTAGTGCAGCTGCAGAGCACATGATAAATGAAGAAGAGCAAGAAACAATGTTTGAAAACAATAAAAGGGAAAATAGAATTATCCCTTTTACCAAATGAGGATTTCTTAGAAAGAGAATGAGAGAGAGAGAGCAAGACATTTATAATTTTCTAGCAAATATGGACTTCCAGTTAGAACTAGAGCAAAATATAAAACTTAGATCAACTGTGCTGCATTTGCAACAAGATGCCTGACGAAATACATGGCCCAATAGATATGTCTACTCTCCAGGTATGGGTAAATTTTGCATCACAGAACCCTTGGCTCAGTCTCTTCGGCTATTGGGTAGCCATGGGCACACCGCCATCTTTCAATTTCAACTCTCACTGTGCTATCTGCAGTGTGGAATAATAATTCAAGGCTGTTCCGGGATTTGTAAGAATGGATGGCACTTTCTTGAACATTTCAGTGTGCTAGATAAATGTTTGTTTATTCAGTTTTATTGCGAGGGACATGTTGAAGCCAAAGATTTGGGGCCAGATCACTGGTCCATGGCATGCAATGGGATCCAGAAGCATTAGACCATTGAATGGGTTGGTTGAAATGTGTCTGGTTGGTACTCATAGATCTTACAATATATGAAGATGCACTGCAATTGGCTAGGATCAGACAACATGACAAACCATGGTGATTTTTCTACCATGGTTGGTCTATTGTGCTTTCTGCATCCAGTCATGGTATATTATCATGATAAGTTTGGTCTTTAGAAACCACAATAAGAAACAATGGTTAGTTCTATAGCTTCTCTGTACCACCACGGCTTATTGCATTGCCTGAACCCAGGATTGTGGCTTCCACAGCCCTGGTGTGCAACTCCTAAAGAGCAGCAACTGGAGGAGTCACTCAAGCCATCCAGTCTCCATGTGTAGACCAACAAGGAAGAGGCAGGCAACACAGGCAGCTAGCAATGTACCTTGGGATTGAATTTCAGGTGCAGTGACTGATGGGGTTTATGCCAACAGCAGGAAGATGGACTGGGAAGGAGGGAAACCACAGCATCATAGAAACCACCTGCTTGTCTGTTCGGTAGACCATGATTTTAAAAAAAACACAATCCATGGTAACCACTCAGGGTTGCTTCTCATGTTGTGTGAACCCAGCCGTTGTTGGTTATTTCTCCCACATATTTTGTCCCATTGTCTGTTATTTCTCCCACATAGTTTGTCCCAGTGACCGACAGGCAGCAGATGGGAATAGAGAATGCCACTTACCTTGCATTTTGAGGGTAAACTGAAGAAGATTGGGCAACATCAGGTTCTTTCACAACTGGGGAACCAGGATCAGCCAGTTCTTCATAAGAACCCTTGAGGTATATTTTCTTCCAGTAAAGGTAGGCAGCTATTCCGATAAGGACCAACAGAAGAATTCCTGCTACCACACCGCCGGCCACAGCAGCTGCCTGTTCTGATTACACAAAAGCACACATTCACCTAAAGAGCCATGAAGAAAAGGTGAAGATGCTTATTTGATACATGGGAATGGACTGCTCTTGCAGTCTTGGAGAATAAATGGTTTTCCCAACTGGTTTGGTCAGATGGATGTGTCTATACATTTTATTTATTTGTTTAGTTTTGAACTTGTATGCCACCCACTAATCCAGATGGATTCTCTAATACTAGAAAAGTGCTGGGAAAAGCGAACACCTCCAGTTTCCATTTCCATCCCTTGTTGCTGATCCCCTAACCAATGCTCAACACCTCTGGCTTATGCGACATTAACTAATTACTATTGTTGTCCCAAGATTTTGCACCAGACTTCATGGGCTCTCGCACACTCGAGACATTCAAAGAAAACCTGGGCAGCCATCTGAGTGGGATGGTGTGACCTGGTGTCCTGCAACAGCAGGGAGTTGGACTGGATGGCCTTCATGGCCCCTTCCTACTCTACTATTCTATGATGCTATTCTTCTTCTTGCTGATACCAGAGTGTGGGACCCAGAATAATTGACTCAGGTTCAGGCTGGACATCAGGAAAAGCTTCCTCATGGTCAGAGCAATAGAACAGTGGAAGCAGCTGCCTGGGGAGGTGGTGGGCTCTCCCACACTAGAGACAGTCAAGGCAAACCTGGGCAGCCGTCTGAGTGGGATGGTGTGACCTGGTGTCCTGCAACAGCAGGGGGTTGGACCTGATGGCCATTTTGGACCCTTCCAACTCTGCTATTCTCTGATTATACTAATCAAGCCATAAATCAGGAAGGATGTCACTGGAACATTTTGGAACTTTTTCATGGAGGAAAAAGGTGCATAATTTCTTTTTACGACACCAGTGAGAAACAGGTACAATATTTTGTTCTGCACGCCTTTCCCAAGCAGTGAGAGTTCAAAAGGCAGTGCTGCAGCTTTCTTCCAAATGAGATCCTTGCAGTCTTAGTCTGCCTTTTGTAATATCCATTGATTTGCCTATATATTGGGTATAGGGAACAGATATTCTTTAATGGACTATCAATCTCCCAAAAGCAACACTGTGTCATTGCAGCTATCCCTTTCCACAATTGCTTTGCTCCTTCTCACGAATCAGCTACCCCCAAAATCATAAATTCGCAGTCGATAGTCCTACCAAAGGGAACCACCACATGTTTTTCTGGGTAAGGTGGGCTCTACTTTCCTACTCCCTTTCCTGCAACAAAATACGTGCCTGGTTTCAAGCCAGGAACTGCTCCAGAAAAGCTGGGGGTTTGCTTGCTTTGGCTTTGTAGGTTCCTGGCACATCCGGTTAGATATTTACGTGGTGCTTTTTAAATTCCTGGCGTTTATTTCACACCAATTTTCTTCCGCCTCCCCTTCTGCAGTGCTCTGCCACAGGCATTGCTCCTGGCCAGGGCGGCAAAGTGGCATCATGACAGCTGCAAGGGCCAGCCAGTCAGCACTCTGAGCAGCCCTCTGGGGAGGAAGAATGTATGCAATGGCCAGGAAGGGCAGCCCATCTGTTCTCTACATAGCTGTCAGCTGTTTTCTGCGGAAAACAGGAAAAATGAGTTGTTTCAGAGCCCAGAAGAGAAAGGGGCTAATGCAGATGAGCAGCAGGCCTTACGCTGAAGTGATACTTATCTGCATGACGGTCCCTTGCTAGCCACATCCAAGTTCAAATGGCTGTCATTTCTTTTTACACCCTCTTAATTGTGAACCCTTCCTGGCTGGCATATATTTCCTGACTTTTAGGTAATTAGGTAATAAAAAAGAGGTAATTTTCCACTTCTTTTTTTCTAAAGGGCTCTTTAAAGCAAAACAAAACAAAACTAAGCAAACCCAAAGCACTTCCATGCACGCATATAGCTGCTGAGAAAAGATCAGGAAGCAACAGCAAGCAATCAACTTAAATAAAACATTAACATTTGACAGCTATTAACGATACTTTGCTGCATGGTTCTGAGTGATTATTGTGGAAAGGCCTTAATGACTGATTCATGGCAGGGCTTGTTTTGTTCCACTGACGGATCTCCTCCTGTATTTCTGCTCCATTCCAGCTGGTGATTTGTGTGTGTGTCTGTGTGTCTGTGTGTTCATGTTTAACTGACCCATTTTGCTCCTACAATTGCTTATTCTGTAGTAATAACCCTTTAATGTGTGTTGGGCTTATCTGTCCTTCGCATATCTTTTAGAACAGTTAATCTGCTTTGGCATCCCCCAAAGATTTCTGGGAATTTAAGTTTACAAATGCTTCAGTTGTTCCTGTTTTCTAGGGACTTTATTTACTTATTTATTTTTCAATTTATATCCTGCCTTTTTCCTCAAAGGGCTCAAGGCAGCTTGCATCATTCTCCTCCTCCATCTCATCCCCACAACAACAACCCTGTGAGGTAGGTTGGGCTGAGAGTCTGTGACTGGCCCAAAGTCCATGGCCGAGCGGGGACTAGAACCCGGATTGCCTGAGTCCCCGTCCCACGCTCTTAGCCACTACGCCACACTGACTCTCTTTTATCCCTATCCTCAGTAAATCACTGTTCTTGCTTCTGCATTTTAGGAATCCTTTATTAAAATATTGTTAGCATTAAGTGTGTTTGTCAAAAGTTCACTTTTAAGGGCATATTCTTTCCCAAGATAAAAAACCTACCACCAGCTCTCCAACCCGGAAGCAAATTAAATCTTTTCTTTGACCAACAAGTTGCTGCCAGTGGATTTTAGGTTTTCCTGAACTAGCTAAACCATGACAAGACCTCAGCAATTATTAAAATGCATCCTGTTGTAACTAAGGTAAGTTTAAGTTTGGAAAGAAAGAAATAGTTTCATGTACTCCCTAAAATTCTCATGCCACCTGCTCCAATCCCTGCACATGGATTTAAAAAATTCATGAAATGTTACAGCTCTGTCCATTGTTGCCTTCACACCTTGAAACACATGAGAGCAAGGAGGTGTGTCGATTCCTACTGACCGGTTGTTTCTGCTGCAAAGTAGAGGAGCAAACCAACAGGTTGTCCTGTCCCTGGGTTGTTAAGCATGACGTATCATTTCTGGATAGTTGTGTGAGGGTCAACCAACACGTATAACCCATGATTGAACCAGCTCAGTGTTCCTGGGTTATTCCAATTGGGAGAGATCCAGTGATGGGAACCAGAACGCTTGCTTCAGCTCCATTTGAGATGACAAGGTGTTTAACGAACAGGAGAATCAGCATGGGATCTCACAACTCTTTGCAAAGCTTGCCTCAAATGCATCCCCGTGCCTTCTTCAAAGATGGAGGAGACTTTGTCTTTGTGTCATGCATTGCTGTAAACTGAAGGTGAAGATGAAGCTCCCTTACAAAATAACTGACTCTATTCCTTGGACAGAACTGCATGGAAAGGTCTTTATAGCAGTGAAAGAAGCTGGGCTTTCCTGAGGATTCCAGGCTCTTTTCACATCATATGGCAGGAAAACAAACTTGTGCTCCCAGAGTCTGCACTCAAACCCATGGAGAGAAACAAAAGCTGCTGGCCAGCTTCAGCCTGAACTGGGGCCCTTGAATACCTTGCGGGCAAGCCGCGGCCCCGGCTGCTCATCTAGCAGAGCCATCGCCACATCCGGCCTTCCAGACTTGACCCTCTGGGTACCGCATGCAATCAAGCAACTGTTGCTCCAGATGAAGACACCACGACTTTTTTGGTGCCAGGCTGACAAAATACGGGTTGTTACTACTATGAGAGGAACACAAGCGATGCTCTGCTTAAAACTGCTGGGCAGTCAGTCAGCAGCGAGACGCCTCTTGATTGGACTTGAGAGAGAAAGGCTTGCAACAACCCAGCCCTTTTCCAAGGGCTCCTGCCTTTGAAGACCCTGGGCCAGGCTATCGGAGGCAGGCTGAGTGGGCACTACCACTGGAGACGTCATTAAGCCAGCCTTCTGCCTGGGGAGCCTTTGGTTGAGGTAGCAGAGTCAGAAGCCCTTGTTCGAGCTTTGCTAGCATGCGACTTCCCAGCAGATTACAATGCAGCCAACGGGAGAAAATCGCAAGCAGGGCCATCCAATTGCCAGTGACTGCCTGTGCTTCCAGGCCCACCAAAGGAAGAGCTCTTCGGAGCCAATGCAGCACTGCCCGTAACAGGTGCAGCTAGTTTCGCATACTTGTCAAGGGCAAGAGATCTCCCTCATGAATCCATGACACCCAGTGCAGAAAACAGCAAGAGCTGAGGAGCAGCTGAATAAAACCCATGCAAGGAAGGTGCTAGGATTGTCCTTTCAGAAGCAGAGGCCTGGGGGTGTGTGAGGAATCTCTTCGGATGTGGGAATCCACTGGATTCTCTGGGCTCAGCTCTCCAGACCCAGCATTTGTGGGATGTTGGCCAGGAATCAAGCTCCACATCCTCCCAAGCTCTCGTGCCACTTGTAGCCGTCGCTTGGGCAACTGCACCTGATGCTGAAGAAGTTTGGCCGCAAGGGTCTTGCCTGGAAAGATTTGCAGCTTTCCCCAAGGAACCCTTTGAGTCAATCTAGCTGTGTACTATATCCACCGAATAATGAGAACCCAGGGCTGCGCTTCTGGAGCTGCACAAGCGCTGTACAATTATCAGCCAGTCTGGAGGATGTTCTGCTGGGTGGATGGACCTATATTTGGACTAGCAATGTAGTCCAGTATTCCCAATTCCCAGCTGGACATCACTGGATAAGTGGAAGCTGAGTTTATCGGGTACTGCCTGTGAACTGGTCAGGGAGTTGTTATCTTGCTGGTTGGCCTCCAGCTACAAGAACTGAGAAAGGGTGGTTAATAGGAAAACTGCAGAATTACCAGTGCTTGGGCAAGTCTAAGAAAATAGTGGCTAAATATCTGCTTAATGCTTTGGAGAAAACCCTGGACTGGAGTCTTGCCCAGCTGGAAGAACTGTGGGTGTGAGCAAAAGGCCGATCTGCCTGCAAACAGGAGTAGAAGTTTTAGCAAATGAACCAGGCAAAGCCTTGAGGAACCTGGCAGTGGAACAGCAAGCCGCAGCTCTTATATTACCCTCAGAAAGAGGAGTGTGTGCTCTTATCGACCAAGAATGTTCTGTGCATATAACAAGCATGTGGAATTTCAATTCTGGCAATTATTTCTAAACTAGCACCCACCTGTATAAATCAGCATATATGCATTTCATGCACCTGGACCCGTGCCCCGGATCTTTTAAGTACCTAGCAATGTCCTTGACATTGTGAATACTCGTACCTTGCGCTTTCTCTAGCAGGTGAGGTTTCTTTCATGCTGTTGATAACAGATTGCAGAACAATAACATTTTAAAGTATATCTTTAACCGAAAGTGTGTGTGGGTATGTGGAATCACCTTCATAGTTTTTACAGCAGTGAAATATGGACCACTGCAGAGAATAGGATGTTATAAAATTCTTGGTATAATCACTGGTGTGAAACAAGTTTATCCCTCTCTTGGGAAACACTTGTGAAATGTTATTATGGTATAAGGTGGGTGCAGAGACTTGGGACCCCCCCCCCCCCCCCCCCGCCGCTGCCAACAGAACTGGAGATCTGTTGAAAGACGGGTCGTTTATGCTGTCACTCTCCCAACCCTTTTAATAGGAAAGAAGAGGTTCATATATTTTAAATACCCTGCAGGCATTCTCAAGCCAAACATTGTAAATTGGATTTTTAAATTTTTTTACCACACAGCTCTAAAGAGATACTTACAATATAAAGGCAAGCCAACTCAAATAAGACTGGTTACATACAAGCAAGGTCCTCCTCCCAGAATAAGATAAGTAATCACAAGTATAAAGGATTAACTCACGATTGGCAGCATGTCTGATTGAGACCTCCAAATTCTCCATTATTTTCACAGATGTTTCAGGGATAGAAAGAACTTGAGGTGTGTTTCCAAAAACTCCTAGAAATCTGCCGTTTGACCCTGATGCTTATTCAGAGATAAAGCCCATGTGTTCAATTGGAGTTGCTTCATGGATGGAGCCCTTTCCTGGGCTCCACCTGGAAGTGTGCTGTGTTGGGTCACATCCCCAAACCATCAGGGTCAAAGTAGCTTAGATCAAAGCATCAGTGTCAGTGAAATCAAAGTCTGTTGTGGACCTTCCCAGGGTGACCAAATGCAGAGCAATGAAGGGGCTTTGATGCCTTCAGCACAGATGAGGGGCTACAGGCAGGTCTCGCACTCAGGAGAATGAAGGAGAGAAGCTGCCACTGCCAAAATTCCCCCTTTGACTCATTTTTAACGGTCCACCCACCCTGCCAGCCTTTGCATTGGGTCTTCCCAAATCATGCCCATATTAGCTCAGCAAAGATAATAACGGCCGTTCAAGAACACTGGAAAATTAGAAACAAGTCAACAGGCAAGCAGGGGCCCATGCCAAGCTGGAGTGGACCATGGGGCAGAAGAGAAGGGCAACCAGTATTATGAAACTGCTACACAGAGGTGCTGAATGCTGTATTTAGTTCTCGCTAGCCTTTATACCTGTTTTCACTTATGTCCTTCTGGCAGTTCAGAGCAGAAACCATTAAAATGGAAATGCAACAGGCGGACTGAAAAGGCAACAACCGGCTGTGTGTTTGGCATTGTCTCTCTCCCTCCAGCCGAAGGTTTTCTTGGAGGAAGGAGATTTGGTGAAGGGTCAAGGGTGGAAATCTATCTGCTCATCTTTTTCACAGCCCTGGGGTGCAGAGACCTGCCCAGGGTAATAGTAGGTAGCCAAACACCCTCCCAATGTTTTGGACTACAATACCCATTGACACTGGCCATTGGCCAAGCTGGTCAACCATGCCTTTATCTTTGGCAAGAGCACAAAAGTAGGAATTTCAGCAGCTGGAGTTTGCCATGGGAGCAAGATGCAGGGGGACAGGACTAGGGCAAAGATGAGAAGCCGGCCACTCAGCAAGTGTGTCAGACAATAACTCCCGGCCCTCATGGCCAATGGCCGGGGATAATAGGAGCTGGAGTCTTACAGCCCCGCAAGGATCACAACTTGCTCTGTCTGTGTATTAGTGGTACTGGATTCCTGCCCTTCCTGGCATCTGGTCGGCCTGCAAGACAGGAATGCCTTGGATTTAAACAGCTCTTCTCTGCCACAGGCACCCTCAAAGCGTTTTTCAACCAACAGCACTCTTGTTCTCGTTTTAAAATCACACTATGATAAAACGCAAGAGCTAAGCAGCAGCTTAACCACTGATGCACAAGGTGATCCAGGTGAGCTGGCTTTCTACCTCCCAGGTATAAGGGGAAATGTCTGCACCTTGAAAGAGGTAAAGGTGGGAAAATATGGATCCTGGCAGTATTTCACAAATTCTCCAGGAACAGAGAAGTGAGGTGGGCAGAAACTGAGGAACAGACCCCACCAGTTCCCTCTCCTCCAAACCCCATTGCCCAGAAGCAGGGAGACTTTCAAGATAAAAATGTAGGACTCCAGACCAAAGAGCAGCTTCACGTCTCTCTTCCCACACCCCCCCCCCATCTTTCCAAATGCAGAAAGGATCCAACTCGGCACAATGCTCTGACTTGTCACTTACCAGACATGGATCCTAAAGATACTGGAGTGGAGTCACTGATGTTGCAACTGGTTGCTTCAGAGCCTCAGTGCCATCCTGTTGCCCCAGTACCCAAGTCGGATTTAACTCTCCTGCTCTCCTTTCCCCCCAGCAGCTGTTGTTTCCACCTCTGGGGTTCTTGCATCGGGGCTGCTGAACGCTGGCGCTTCTCCTTCCTTGACAACCTCAGCTGCTGGCTGGTAACTTTTTTCCCACATGGATCTGGGTGCACCTGAGGCTAGAGAGACGGAGCCAGCAGCCAGTGGAGCTGCATGGTTTGTGTTTTTTCCTGCTTGCCTCCCGCTGGATGTAGAACAAATGACTCCTCCTCCTGGCCACCAGACAGGCTCCTTCAGACTTCAAGGGCTGCCTTGCAGAGTATGTGCCAGCTCCTGCAAGCTAGAGAAGGAAGAGGGGCCTGCCAGTAGCTTGCCACCCTTCCTTCCTGAAGAGCACAGGGTTTAACTTGGCAGGCCACCAAGCATCCTTTCCACAAAAACAATCACAGGGATGGTGGGGAGACAGGCCCCAAAAGTGAGGACACTGACACCAAGAGGCAGGCTGCCAGGAAGCTGACTTGCCTTGTATTCTGCAGTGAAGTTCCACCTGCCTTTCCAAAGGATTTTGCTTTTTTCTTAAATAAGCAGCCTTCCTGTAACACTTGGCTGTTGCTGGCCAGATTGTGTGGCCCGGCAACCCCGACTGGAGCTGCATATTGAAAATGGGACCCAGCACGCACACACACACACACACACACACAATTTTTGTCAGCTCAAGAGACAAAAGAGGTGTGTGGATGACCTTCACGCACTGTAATATTGTTGATGTTATGTGCCCTCGAGTCTTCTCCATCTTATGGCCACACCAGGAAGGGATGACCGCCAAATGTCCTCTCCTTGACAGTCCTTTGTAATGCAAGGCTGTGCTTCCTCGATGGAGGCAGTCCGTTTCTCAGCCCATCGTCCTCTTCTTCGGGCTCTGACCTTCCCTCGCCTTCTGCAGTGGGTATGCCCTCCTCATGATGTCCCCAAAGCAATAGATCTTAGCCATACCTTGGCCAGCTGTTGCCTTCCCTTCTAAGATACTCATCCAGAGAAACAGCTCAGATCAGGGAGAGAGATTGCTCAGGGTCCCAACAGTACTGGGCATTCTCTGCCAGTGATCTGGAAAGTGCTTCCCGGCATCCGAAAAACCACCTTTGCACGCATTTCCATTCTCCCAGAGGGTGTACCAAGAGCGCCACCTCTTGTTGGATGGAGACATTGCACTGTCCCCTGAAAACAGGGAGAAACTCACCAGCGGTGACTGCTCAGAGCATGCGACTTCTTTCATGGCGCAGTCAGCCTGAGGGCTGGCCCAGCAGCCTGCTTTGCCCAGGACTGCTTCCACCTCGGGGCCTATTCCAGACAGCAAGAGCCTTGGGAAGTCCGAGCGGCTGGGGAGCCGTAGCGCAAAGTTTCCTGCCAGTTAGTCTGGCTCTCTACCCTCCAGGAAGGTGTTCCGGATGGCTACTTTACTGTACGCGATGCTCCTAAAGTGGCTGGGCCATGCAGCTGTGCTGGAGTACAGATCTCAGAATCCCCGGCCAGCACTGCCATCAGCCAACACATCTGGAAAGCACCAGGTTGGGAAAGTCTAGCCTAGAGGAATACATCATCATAATCCCTTTGATATCCTGTCTTCTTTTCCTTTCGCATGGCCCTCTTCCTCCTCTTCCTCACAACAACCCTGTGAGGTAGGTTAGGCCGACAGTGGCTGGCCCAGAGTCACCCAATGAGCCAAATGGGGAACAGAACTTGGGTTTCCTGAGTCCAGCCCATCAGCATCATCATCATCATCATCATCATCATCATCATCATCATCACATCTATATCCCACCAATTTACCTCTTGTGAGGAAGCCAAGATGGTGTACACAGCTCCATTTTATTCTCACAACAGCAACCCTGAAAAAGGAGCACCTTCTTCCCTACATGCCTTCCCACCCCTTGAGATCTGGGTCGGAGGTCCTTCTTCGGGAGCCCTCCTTGAAAGAGATTAGGAGGGTGGCTACCCAGAGGAGGGCCTTCTCTGTGGTGGCACCCCGTTTGTGAAACATGCTCCCCAGAGAGGTTCGCCTGGTGCCAACGCTTTTTTCTTTTCAGCACCAGGTGAAAACCCTTTTATTCTCCCATTATTTCAGTTGTCAATTGGTCTTGATTGTGGTTTTTATATTTATCACTGGATGCCGTACCATTTTTTAATCTTATTTAATTTGTGCTTGTTGTAAACCATCCCAAGACATCAGTAATGGGATGGTATATAAAAGCTATAAATAAATAAATAACCAACCAACCAACCCTGTAAGGTAGATGTGGCTGCGGGTCAGAACCAGCCCAAAGTGAGCTTCGTGGCCACGTGGGAACACTGCTGAAGAAATGGGAGACTCTCCCAGGCATGTGGCCAAAGGGAGTGACAGAGTTCCAGGAAGTAAAGAATAAAGTTTTATTCCTCAAAGTAGCCCATTTTACCACTAAAGGAAAAGAACTCCATTGTTCACATCCGTGGAGTTTGTCTCTCCTTTTCATCACATTATCAAGAATGGACCAGAAGGAGGTTTTCTTACTCTAATTTCCCACACCTGGCCTTTTCGTTAACTTCCTCCACTGGCAACGATGACGCATATGCCTGGGCTGCCAGGGGCTACTGGCCGCGTTCCTGGGACGGCTAGACCTCTTCCGCAGCCAGCGAGCAGCTAAGTTGCCTCAGGGGCAGCCCTGCCTGAGGCAGAGTGAGGCGGTCGCCCCCGGGCGGTGGGGCTGGGAAGCGCTGGAGCACAGACCTGTGTGCGTGTGTGTGTGCCGCACAGCCTATCCCGCACCCCATGCCCTAGGATAGCCTACCGCCTTCCTGGCTTTGGGAAGAACGGCAGCTTGTGGAGGACTATTGTGTGTGTGTGTGTGTGTGTGTGTGGATGAGACAGAGTGGGGTTAAATACCTCTCTCTCTCTCTCTCTCTCACACACACACACACACACACACAATTTTGAAAACAGGGGTGTAAGTGCATTTGCACACTCAGCCTGGTGCATAGCTTGGCCATTCATGACCATGTGATGCGCGGAGCCGGCTGGAGCCAGGGGTCAGACTAGATGGCCTGGGAGGCCCCTTCTGACTCCCTCAGTTTCTATGAAAATGAAATCCCATTGCTCCGCATTTCAGTGGGTGTTATTTGTGGCTAGAGTGGATTTTGTCCACCAGGGGGCAGTGTTGCTCCAATGGTGTAGAAGCAAAAAGAGGGACAGGATAATACCTCAGGCAAGACTCTCTTGGACATCTTACAAAATATTCAACTTAATGGGTGCATAGCCAGTTAAGTGTCTCAGAAGAAAATCACAATTGATTTCAAGGTGTCAGGGAACCTCTGGGTTGTGACCTGATGGTTGGCAGTTGAAAACTAGAGCACGATTTGTAAACGACCATTTTAAACAATGCTCTTTGCTATTAGGGCTTAGCCCGTTCACTGGTCTTGCATCCCAAAGCCCTCCTGAGAATCTATAGGGATCCTGTACAGTTTGTGAAGATTCGGTGTGCTGATTCAAGGAGGTCAACACAGGAAGAAACATTTGCCTTGAAATGGCTTTAATTTTTACTGAGATGCTCCAGATTGCGCAAGGAAGGGATCCAGCACCAGCGTAACATTTCAACAATACCATTAAAGTGTCCTCCCTTTGCATATGGGCTCCCTCAACTTGACCTAAAGTAATGGCGACATATAGAATTCCAGCAAATTAGCAATTTTGCCTCCATAATAGCATGTCTTTTATGGAGGCCTGCATTATTTTTGCATCAGTCATCTGTTTTATTTTTATTTTTTTTCAAGAGAAACACTAGGCCTGCCTTAAGACTAACATTACATTCAATTTGGCAGCCACGGTGAGCCAACAGACAACTCCCAAATTTAAGCATGACTTTTTGTGTACAAAGTGTGCCACTCTAAATGCATTTGAGATGGTTGCCCTGGAAATATAAAAGACCACACTTCTTCAGTAGTACTAATATGCATGAGCATCCGCAGGAAGGCACACAGAGGAGGACAATCCCATCCTTCTGGATGAATCATAATTCCCAGCTTGCTTGCTTGCTTTCAGCAAGTTTCTAGACCTTAGCAAGTCCAAGATATGGGACTAAATGCACAGCCAGCCTTCAGCACATTCTTTTAGGATGCAAAGTCACCTGCTCCCCGCTTTCAGGGGTTTTGGCTAAAATGTGAAGTCACGGCAGTGCTAAAAACTGCCAATATCTGGAAAAGGAATGTCCAGGTTCATTTTAAGGTCCAGCAGGAGGGTCTTTCCCTGGGAAAGCAAATGCTTCTCAGAAAAACAGTTCAGACATCTAGCTGAGATGTGACTGAGACAGAACAGTAATGGATGCATTCAAAAAGAATGCAGAAGTAAAGACCGGAGTTCATCCACACAGCTCCTTATGGATAAAATAACCTCTAAGTTCTGCTCCCCTTCCCTATAATGTACACAAACAAAAAAGACAACAAGAATCCACAAAACCCACAAGTGGGCGATACCTTTAATAAAATCTACCACGTTGCCACAAAATTAAGCAAACTTTCAAGCTCCTCAGAACTGGAGTGGGCAGAAAGGAGATCTGAAGGGGTTGTTCCGTCTTCGGACGACTTGCCGGAGATCAGCTAGGATTTGCTTCCCTGTTCGGGACGCCCCACAACTATTGTCCGAGGCTGCCCACTCACACTCCTTCACGGCAGGGCCGGCCCTGAATGCTGTCTCAACTTCCTGGCCTCCTTTCTCCCTTGTCTTTCTTCGTTTTGCTCCTCGGTTTCCTCCCTCTCTCCTCCCCTTGCTTCCCCTGGCTCTGCACAGGCCCAGTTTCTCTAATCAGATGAAAGCAGCCGGATTATCTCTGTCCCTCACTGACAGTCTCCATTTTGTTTCCTCTTGGTCTAGGGAGGTGCAGGGGGAGGCACTGAAGTCAGTTCTGGGCTCACCTGTAGACGGAGAACACCGTGGGCTGCGCTCGTCTCCCCTTCTGGCTTCGACGCTGCCTGGGATTCCTCCGCCAGCTCGGTCCCTGGTGGGACCCCGCCAGGGGAAGCTCCCAGCTCTCCCCGACGATGGCTTTCAGGGTCTTCTCTCTGATGTCTGAGCATCTTCGTCCAACCCCTTCAAGGCATCCTAGCCTGGGGCAAGGCTGGATGTGAGGGCTCCGTGTGTTGGGAGGAAGGTAAGCGCTGCTGCGGAGACAGGGTCGAATTTCTCCCACAGTTGCAGGGGAAATCTCCTCTGAAACAGCGTGCCTGTCTGTGGGAATAACAACGCTGATCATGTGGAGATTAGAAGCGCTCCAGAGAGTGGGGGATTGATAGGAAAACAAACCTGTGCAGCAGTTATACGCCTTTTGTTCTGGGTGAGTGGAAGATGGCTTTGAAAGAAAGGCACAACGATGCCAGGAAAGAGATTCTGGTGGAAGAGTATTTTTAGTTTCTCTTGCTGAATGTCTGCCAGCTTCTGTTCCCTGTGCATCTGTCTCCCTCCCTCCCTGCCTTCGCACCTGGAGAATATTTTAAAAACACTTTTCTCCGGTTGTGTGTGCTTGAATTTGCATCCTCTGAGCCTCACAACATGCCTCTTCATCCCAGAGAGGTGGGGCAACTGGATGGTTATTTGGAGGGGAGCGAAATTTACTCTGCACATGCTCAGAGGCTTTCAAGGTTTTGTTTATTCCTGCAAGGAAGATTAACACTGAAAATAGATCCTGTGTTGACATTTAAACCTACCTGGAGCGGTGGCCTAAAGCTCAAATGAAGCCCATACTCTGTGTGTGCCTTGTTGTGATTTCGTCAGTGGTGCTTCTGTGCTGTGATGCTTTGGTTATACCCATCTAGTGTGTCTCATCTGTTTCTCTCATCTTATTAAAAGAGGTATCTGGGGGAAAGGAGGAAAACACTCTTCCATTACAATGCCTCATCTAAATCTTCTCACATAACCTGATCAGTGAAACATTGCAGTGAAAATATCCATGCCATTAATTTGGGACAAGAAAATTAATAACTTAGATCATCCCCTTCTTTAACCTGAGTCTACTGAAGTTTTCAGCACCTAAACTTTTTTTCCTGACAATAGATTCTTTCCTAGTTTCTAGAGATCTGAATCCGAGTGTCTAAAGCTGCATTGCTGAATTTGAATGGGTGTTGGTGATTCTGCGGCCAACAAAATGTGGACTGAAACAGCAGGCTTGCAGTACTGGAAGGGTGTGATGTGGGCGTGTAAAACCTCTGAGAGGGTGCTTTCTCCCACTAGCATATGTCAGTTTCAATATTTTTAAAAACTGGCCCTTAGAGAGGTTCCACAGCTGGACAAACAGGGCAGGGCATAAAGCTAATGCATGTCTTGGAGGAAAGATCTTGGCATGAGCAAGGAAGCCTCAGAAGAGGGAAAGGGAGGAAGAGCCAGGAAGCCACCCAAAGGATTGGTGGTTGGGGAAACGAGGTCCAGGGGAAAAGAAAGCTTTTCCCGAGAAGGCTGGTCTGGGACCTCAGCTTGGCCAGATTCAGCCTGCAGGCCGAAGGACCGACACCCATTTTAAGAGAAGCAAGCAATTTTGACAAGCAGCAATTTTGCAGGAGAGGCTTTTCCCAGGAGGGTGATATATGAAAGCGAAAGTGCATTTGCCCGATTTTTAAAAAATCACAGGCACAGAGCTGGGTGAAAAAAGTTGATAAGGCTCCATTCAGCTCTTCACGTGTATATGTAAACTTATAGGCATATGTAAATATATAGGTATATATGTAGCTCCTGATGATACATAATTTCAAAGTTCTGTATTTAAATACTTTTTTTAAAAAGAAAAAAGAATGCAACTATTTAGCTACTGATTATATGGCCAAACTTTTAACCTGCCTTATAACCCAAGTCATCATGGCAGCATATAGTCAGCGCAAAACTTGTACAAATTATAACATGTTGAAGGACAAAAGTGTTTTTATTTATTTATTTAGAATATTTATACTCTGTCCTGTCACAAAGGCCTTAGGACGGCTTCCATAAATAAAATAATATAAAACATAACACAAATGAATTACAGATCCACACTGGCTGCAGTTTTATGGAATGTGCGCTACAATGATGTACCAGGCAAATTAATTTCTAAGTCAGAGTTTGAATCTGCGTTGTAGGATAGATGCACCAAAGCTTAAGAGACAGTTAGAAAGAGGAGGAGGAGGACGAAAGGTTACCTTTATAACCTCAATCCTGTGCGCATTTAGGACTGGCAACCAGCTCACTCAGAAGGTGTCTTCAGTCCAATCCTATACAATTTTATTCTGCCCCACTGAGATTGGGAGAGTAGCCTTGCGAGTAAACTTGCAAGTACTTACAAGTAACAAGTAGGTAACTGCAGCGTTTGTGTTGGCAGTACTCAGACACCCCATAATAATTTGCAATGGAAGGAATAACATGGGATTTTCCTCCACTGAACTGTCATCTGTCCATCTATTAAAAAAAAAAAAAACAACCTCCATTTTGAATGTATTAGCACTTGCATTTTTGAACAAAATTCCCAAGAGGGCTTTTTCCCTTAATGATGAGGATGATGGATACTGCAGTGGGGTTCAGAATGCTGGAAGCACAAGGCCCTTGTACCTTTAAGAGCTGTGCGGCTTCCCATCTGCTGCAGCTTAACATGTGCAGAGGTGAGGAAAACCGGACTGCCTGAATTTCCTCCTGCTGCTCAGGCATTAAAGGCAGAGGAGGCGGCCTGCTAATCCTAGTGAGAGTTTAGCTATTAGATGGTTTCAAGACTGGTCTGACAACAAACTTGCAAAGAGAAAGTTAACGTGATCTTCTATGGCTTGAATATCGCACTGGGTTATATAAAAGTATATATGAGTTTATTTCTGTTTCTGGCAACCCAATCCCAGATGTGTTGATTTATAGGAAAGTCCAGTAGAAGCAAATGGGATGAGTTTTGAGGTAAAGGAGCTCAGGAACACATCCTCAATATCATTATTTACTTGGGCACTCAAGTATTTACTACTCAAACTCCACCTGAGATCCTTGAAAACATGGGCTACCTCATAGGACATTGTTGCTAATAGTCTCCTCTAAAATCTCACCGGATTTCTGCTTTTTATTATTTATTTATTTATTTATTTATTTATTAAAACATTTTTATGCCGCCCCATTCGCCGAAGCCTCGGGGCGGCTTACTTCTTACCTTTTCCTTTTTTAAAAAACGAAACAAACATGCCTACGGCACAGAAATACCCCAGAATCTCCATAGAAATATCTCTGTGTTGTATTTTAATACCCCCCCCCCAAATAGCCTCGTTCAAAGGCACAGAACAAGGTTTAATGCCAACCATCTTCCTCTTATTTTAAAGCAATGATTCTTAGCTAAAACCTCCATCAAACAATTAAAAACCCATTGAGGGCAAGCTGTGTGTTATGAGTTGTAAAAGTTAGTAGGCCAAACTATTATTATATAGAAAAAAGTCAATTGCCTGGCATTGTTTGGCATAACACTAGAAAGAAGTAAACCTTAAATTGCCCGTCCTTGCTGAGAGATGAAAGCCCTTTTCATGAAGGTTGTAGCCAGAATCTGAATATTTTCAGATCCAGCATTTTTCTTGCCTTGGGCACCTTCTTTCTACCCGTGTCAGAAATGACCCCATGAAGTGACTAGCGCTAGTTTTTGTTGTGAAGGGATGGTCCTGCAATACCTGCCTGGCTGCCATATTGTAGCATGTCCCTTTATGAAGTTTCATTCTCCCTGTGGCAACAGAGTGAAGTGGGCTGCACAGTTCCTTCAGATACCTGTGTGGACAGGAAGGGCGCGTGACGAAGTTTAGTGCTGGCCATCTTCCTCTTATTTTAAAGCAACGATTCTTATCTAAAACCTCCAATGAACCTCGGCAATTATAGGCAGCCTATATGAATACATGTAAATAAATAAGCAACCCACTGCGTGAATGAAGAGAGCTCTGAGCTGCAAAGACATCCTGTGAGGGTGCAGGCAGTGAGTAACATGGGCTAGTGTACAGGGAACGGGCAACGTGGGTCCCCATTATCCCCCCATCCACCTTGCTTGTCGACCACACACCCCCATTTTTATTTTTAAAACATCTTTATATTTCCTTACCTGCAGCTGAGATTGTTTCAAGGTGAACTGAGAACTTCTTGCAGCTGCCGCCTTACTTTCCCACGAATGCCTTTGCAAAGATGACGGGTCCTTCGTGGCCAGGATGGCCAAGCTGTGGCAGCTGGTTTAGGGTTATACCCTGTATAGTTTCTCAGATTTTCGGAGAAGTCCCTGGATCCTAAAGGTTGCCTGTCCCTGGGCTAGTGGAAACCAGTGGGGACATTGTCATAACTCTTGGTTAAGCGGAAGGGGATCAGATGTGCCAAATCAATGCATCCGCTTGCCAGCAGAGAGTTGCTCTAGGCATGCAGAAGAAGCAGGCTTCACAGGGTCCTCTCCATGGTACAGATCAGGAAAAAAGCCCTCCCTGCATGGAGAAAGATAGGATGTCTAGGCTATCCTAGATCCTTTCTGCCTGACATGCTAGTTTTCTATGTGCAGGAAGATGACAGCTTTCTTTTTGTGGAGGAGGCCATCGAAACCTGAAATCCTCACCTGCTATAAGTGGCATAGAGCACAGTGGATTCTGCTGCACCGACCATCGACCTGCTTTCGCCAACATCATTTGATTGGCCACTCTTGCAGATACAATCCAGCTTCAGCCTTGCTGAGTGGTTTGCTGAGAACTGGTTCCACCATTGGGGCACCACAACTGTGAAGGCCCTTCCCCTCACGGCCACCTTCCTTCCTTCTTTTAAAGGTGGCTCCCAGGGAAGACCTCCATAGATGACCTTAGGGTCTGGGTATTCTTTCCCTTCTGCACTCAGGTTTCTGTCCACCTCTCACACCCTTATAATACTTGACAATATTTGGTTTTGACTCTCCCTAGCCGCTAAGATGTCCTCCAAGCATCCGACTGCCTTCCCTTCCCTTCCGTCCCTTAAGTGCCTTTCACAGCACTATCTGGGATTCTAATGAGAAGGCTGCCTTTTCAGATTATGCAGATATTAGACGGATTCCAACCAACTGTAACTGCGGAGAACTTTCTGCCTTCTCTCTCTCCTCTCTTGG